CTCCCTCGCCTGCGCTCCCAGGTCGCCTCTGGCCCATCCACTTGCACGATGGTGGTAAGACAGGGTGATATTTTCAGTTCGAAACAAGGTGGACCCCACTGAGGAAACACACAAACTCTTCCGCAGCATCTCCCCCTCCCGCTTTGCGGTGATTTCCAGTGGATTCTTCAGTGATGTGACGTGGGCGGTTTTCATAGGTTTCACGAGCAAGGTCCCAGAACTGTACTGTTATGTCATCCTTTGCTCTCCCACTCAAGAGAATATTCTGGAATGCAACGTGACCTTGTCCTAAGATTCACGTTGAATTTATTTTGAGTGTAGCGTGATATGATTCTTGTTCCCAAAACTCAGGTGGGAGAGATTTGTCAGATTCATTTTTTCCCCCTCCAAGTTACCTCCAGCGTAGAGACCCTGCCTTCTGGGCTGGCAGGAAAACACTGCTGATAGCGGGCGGGGCAGCTCTCGCCTTCTCTGGGAATGTGTGCAAGCCTAGGACAGTGATTTTAAGCCTCTTTCATCTCACGGCACACATAAACTAATTGCTAAAGTTCTTGGGCACATCGAAAAATATACTTTTTGCCAATCTGACAAATAGGTATTACTTTGATCTATTCCCATCGGCAATTACTGTTGTGTTGGCCGCTGTCATTTTTTTATTTGACACTCTGGAGAACGAGGTCAGAGCAACCGCCTGCTGGTCGGGTGGTGCAGGTTTTAAAACGTCCTGTGACCCACCAGGAGAAAACCGCCAGGCCAGGAGGTTATGTGGTGCCTGGGCAATGGGATGAGCCCGCCCTTCTCCTGAGACCAGGTCTTGCTGATATCCTCAGCGTGTCCCTTCAGAGGAGACTGGAGGAAGCTTCCGTTCCAAGCTTGGGAATCTGGACTGAGGCTGGGAATCCTCCGCAGAAGTCCGGCCAACCTGCCACCTGGTGCAGGCACGGCAGGGAGCACACTCCGGTCTGCGATGCCTGGGGCCCACTGTCCCCCGTTCCCTCCCGGGGTCCGGGCTTCCCGAAAATAGAGGCCAGCTCATCTTCACACACAACTTCTGTGCTGGGCCACAAACCAAATGTCCCTGAGGCAAGGCTGACTTCTGCTCGAAAAGAAGAAATAAAATACAGGAAAAACAAACCTCACGCTAATAGCTTGGTATATTATCCTGCCGCCTAATTTATAATTAAATAATCATCCCCAATTCAGTACATCTCACAATTTACTTGTGCCACACATCACAGCTTACGAGACAGACGTCACTGTGGCTTTGCTCTAGAGTACATGCTAGTCTGAAGTGGCTAAACATGGAAAGATACTTTGTCGTCACTCCTGCTTTCTTTCCTCCATTCACCGATGATCTTCAGAAAAAAATTAATAAACATCCCTTTTTCCAGAGGAAGCAATTTGTAGCCAAGCAAATTATCAAAAAGGGTGTTGCCCACTGCCCTAACAGTACCAAATCCAGTCAGTAATGAGCATGCAAGCACAGCCTTATTATAATAGGCTATGTTGATTAAAGTGGAAACAGCATTAAGACCATTTGTTACTAAAACTACCTTCTCCATTTAGCACTTTCTTAAAAGCTACCTTAGTTTTTCACATTACTCTGACTGGGGTGTACAGAGTCACTGAACCAGAGCTGAGTGGCATCTGGTTTATGAGAGGTCTGAGGGGTTGGTTTTTAAAAGATTGTCATCATGTATTGTTAGAATATTTGGGCACACATGGAACCACCTGAAGTTGCAGACTCGGAAGCCTGAGGTTTGAGTTCTTCATGTTTACCCCAACTGTGTGCTACCTAAGACCGCAGCACCCTGCCTCTGGGCCGGTTCCGTGGCTGATACCCCTGCTAGAATGTGTAGCCCTGGCTGCCCTCGGCCTCTGCTGCCAGCGGTGGCTGACGTCCAGGTGAGAACTGCGTCTGTATAAAGGTTGCCCGTAACGAACTGATGCTCAACACCACTCATACCTAAAGAAATATGAATGCAAACAAAACCCAGAAACCATTCTTACCCATCAGATGGACAGTGATTAGAACTCTCAATGATACGAGGGGCGGGTGAGCGTGAGGACAAATGGCAGACTTATAAATCACTGGCAGGAGTATGAAATGGACCAGTCTGTCCTCTGTCGATGTCTATTCAAATTTTTAAATGCTCATGCTTTCTCCTACCAGTCGCACTGCTAAAATTTTATCACAGAAATATATTCACAGACATATGCCAACAAAAGAAAAATGTCCAAAAATGTACGAATCCTGCAGAATTGATTGCAATAGCCACAAACTGGAAACCAATGAAATGTTCTCAATAAGGGTCTAGTTAAAAACATGAAGGGGGGAAGTCAGTGGGTTTGATTATACTCGCCGAGGTTTTCAAACACAACCATGATCTAATTCTGCAACATTTCTGTTACCCCCAAAAGACCCTGTATACCACCCACTCCCTTTCTTCCCCCATGCCATGGCCACCTCTGATCATTTTTTTTTTGTCTCTGTCGATTTCAGACATTTTATATAAATGGAACCATGTAATACATTGTCCCTTGCATCTGGCTTCTTTCACTAAGTGCGCTGGTTTCTAGGTACGTTAGCACTTCATCCCTTTTTGTGGCTGCATAATGTTCTATCGTATGGGTGCACCACATTCGTTTTAATGCGTTCACCAGCTGATGGCCATTTGGGTCATTTCTACTTTTTGGTGATTAGAAATAATACTGCTGTAAACAGGCACGCACAAGTTTTTGCACGGACATGTTTTCAAATTTCTTAATGTTCAAGTGCTTATAAATCACCTACTGATATTAAGTGATACATAATAACTAAATGACACTGAGTAATAATGATACACAATTAAGATATTTCTTACTCATCACAGCAGGTTCCCTAAGAACAGCAACATGTTTCCTTGTGGTAACTCAGATGTAACACGGAACACCTAAAGTGATAAAATGGCACTATTTCAAACCCAGATTTGTGGCTCATTTACATAAACTTTCTACCAAATCAGTCTGAAGTAATGAGACACCACTTTACTGTCTCCATCTAAAAATAACTAGGGCTCTGATGTGGCCTTCAAAATTCCTCTCTGCATGTTCCAAAATGAAAACCTATCATTTTAATTTGACGTACAGGGAGGGACTCGAGTCTCTTCAGGGATGTAGAATTTGACTTAGTATTCTTGTGCATACAGAATCTTGGGCTGGGCTGTGACTTACCCTGTGTGGGATTATCTAATAAAAGTTCAAAAAAAAAAAAAAAGAAAACAGGCAACCTTTGGAAAATAAATTCTGGATTACACAAAAACTCTCCTTTGCGGGAGTCTGGGCTCACATTCGAGCCTCCACCAGCAGACCATCATGCAAAGAAAAACCGCTGCCAGGTTCTTCCTCCACAGGCACCGCTTCCCTTCACAAGGGCTGGGCTCTTCTCCCAGCGCCCGCTGCGGGCTGCTCCGGCAAGCCTCCTCGTGGCTGGGAGTGTGCTCGTATGTTTCACATGAATTTAATATGGAAACGAGATGCTTCTTTGGGGACAGCTGCTGTAGAGGCCACTGGTAGAGAAGAAACCACACCATAAGAAAAGTGTGGTTGTTTTCTCCAACGGAAAATTACCAGTTTGCTTGGTTTCGATCCTTGGCACCAAGTCTTGGGTTCTTCATCACTGAGGAGACTTCTTCCCACTTGGCTTTCTCTCAGCCAGTGTCCTGGCACGCCATCAGAAGGGAAAATAATTAGAAAGAAGTGTTTTAGAGGGATGAGAAGCACTGGTAGCTTCCCAGATGGGGATAATCACGGATCTTCAAACAAACCCTTGGCCAGACGGTAGCATTTGTCTTCTCGCTTACATCAACTCGGTCAGTGTTCACACTTCCTGAAACATGTGCGCACCGCGAACACAGTGCTGGCTCAATTCTCCCCTCTTCAGAGGGGCCTTCGGGGCCTCTTCAGTGCATGGGAGGTGGCCCGGCTGTGGTTAGCCCCAGAGGATTTTCCAAGAACTTCCCTCATCTCATAAGTTATTAAGTTGCTGTGGGATATAAGGTCCTCCTTATTCTTAGTTCGCTCATGATTCAGATAATGCGCGTGGGGGGTGGGGAGAAACAGCTTTATTGTTTTTGTGACTCTTGCCAATTGTAAACATATCAAAGAACAGACATGTAGTTAAAAAGCGTCTGACATCTCACTTTTCTGAGGCAACAAGTGTATCACTTTGGTGAGCATTTCTAGTAATCACTGTCTGATGTGCAGTGATTCATATAGCATTTCTCAAATATTTTTATGAGCATGGTGTTCATTTACGTTCATCCAGAAACTGACCCTGAGACCAGGATGGGAGGCATGTCAGACAGGAATGGGGAGTGGGGAAGTATGGGAGGGGAAGGCAGCCCATCAAGGATGGCTGTCGTTAGCTGGTGGTGTGGTGGATGGAGCTAAATCCCGCAGAGAAACCCTGGGAAACGGCGTGGAACACGTGCCCCAGAGATAGGTCATTTGCAGGGCAATAGAGGGGTCAGCAGGAAGTTGAAAGCAGGGGTTTGGAGTTCAGAAGACATCCCAACTGGATATAAACTGCAGAACCTCTCAGCATATAGATGGCTGGAGCCACAGGACTGGCTAAGATCTCCAGGAACGTGAGCTAGGCAGAAACGTGGTCCGTGGTCCGGGACTGAGCCCGGAGCCCTCAGGGAGACGGGGGACTGCGCAGAGGCGGCTGAGAGAGAGCACCCAGAGCTCGGTGTCTGGGAGCAGGCACTGGTCATGTGGAACAGAGGCGCGACTCCATCACCTGCCCGGGCACACACCGGGTCTCTGTCTGGGGATGGATGGGGTCAGGACGTCCTGCACATTCAACGATAACCTTGAAAATAATGTCTGCCACTGCCAGATAATTGGCCCAAAGCCTCCAGGAACTTCAGGGTGTTAAGGGGCACTGTATTTAGTCATGTATGTCCCCAGTGCGGGGAAATGAACTGAGATACATATTGACCCAGGAAAAAAATATATAAATGTATCCATGTGCGACATTTATATACAGGTACATATAGAAACTCTCTATACAGATATATTGGACACATATGTACACACAGGCAGGTTTAGATCAGTAGTATTATACTACATAAACAGATCTGTAACTTTATTTTCTTTCCACTAAAATCTATTGGGAACAGTGCTCTGTGGCAATCATGTCTGTCTGCTCCCATTAGTTTAATGGTTGCGTAGTATTTCATTGTATATACATACACTATTTTTTCCTATCCTTTCCCCAACATAGAACTCTAAATTATATAGCAGTGGGAGTTCTGTGCATTCACCCTTTCACACCCGTGTGGCTATCCCCTTGGGATCAACTCTAGCAGTGGGGCTGCTGTGTGCAAGAGCAGCGTGCCCTTTTAATGGCCTCATCCAAGGCTGCTTCCTGGCAGTTCCAATAATCTGAGATGTATTCAATATGGAATAGCCAATGCCCTCGGGGAAGAACCATAGGGGTATCACTCCAGGTAAACCCTCTTCTATACCACAGGGAGGACCCTGGGCAGCCACCCGGGTAATGGCTATTAGAAATAGGGCAGAGGTCTGGGTCAAGTCAGAAGAGTCCGTGACGGAAAGCCATCTGCCAGCACTAGCCCTCCACCTGACATGAGGAGCTGCAGCTGACTCTGAATGTAAAACCCCTTCACCTCCACACACAGCAGAGCAGCTCCCCAGGCCAGCAGGCTCTGCGGCAGAGCCGCTAAGAGCTCATTACATCAAGAGCAAACGCAGGGGACTGTAATTAACTCCGAATCTTTCTCCACATTTGATTTTTGCTGGCTGGATTTGTCATCTTGCTGTTAGAACAAGCCCTCTGCATGCCTCAGATTTTTTTCCCTTGACCTTGTCATTCAGAGCAGAGGCGTGACTCTGTCGCCTGTCCGGGCACGTACTGAGTCTTTGTGGGGAGACACCTTGTGACTCAGAAAAAACCACGGACCCAGAGCCATGCCTGGGACCCATTTATGGCCATTGCTGGGTGGGTCTGTAAAAGCACTGAATACAGGACTCACAACCCACCGCGGGTGCCTGACCCTTGGAAAGCGTAGTTCCACAGCACTCACTCAGGGACAGCTAGCTTCCTACGTAGGGTTCTTAACCATTAAGCAGACACACAAGAATATTTCTGATAGTCTAACCTTTTAAAAAGTTTCAGGCCTGTGTGATCTGGCCACATGCTCTTCAGTTCCCATGTCCACGGGCTTTACCATGTGATGTCCCTTCACCTCGAGAGTCCCACCCACACACACTGATTCAGCCACCAACACTGTCTCCGCCCCTTCTGCTTTACCAAGGATGCTCAGTCCAGTGAGGAGGTCAAACGAGAGGGTTTTCTTGCATGTCATGGCTGAGAAAAGTCACTTTACCCCAAGAATATAGTAGGTAGAAGGCAGCCTACAGAATTTATGCCAAATTCCATTCCTCAAATGACCGTATTTCACAGTTGATTATAAGATAACTGCCTTCCAACCTATGAGCCTCTGCATGGTGTTTAAAACCAGGGCCTGGAAATGAACACCACTCAGTCCTCCTTGCCGGCCCGGCTCTGCCAGGGCTGTCTGCGGCCCGTCCTCAGAACGCTATGTAGTACTGCTCCATTGTGCTGACGATGTCACTCTGGTCCTCCAGGAACTCCAGCACCTGCTGCAGCACGGGCTCACTCAGGCCCGGGCTGACGCTCAGGCGGGCGCAGGCCAAGATGTGCCGGAAGTGGCAGCCCTTCTCCATGTCTGTAGGAAAAAAGCAGCCGGCTGAGCTTGGACACACCCGTCAGACCCTCCTTCTCCTCGCCCTCTAAATCAAAGCCCTCTCAGGATCTCCTGAATCAGAACCTGCACCTTAATAAGATCTCCAGATGACTCTTATGTACATTAAAGTCAGAGATGCACTGGTCTAGGTTATCAGAAAAAAGCAAAATGAAACACCCTGATCTCAGGCCTGTCTATGGACCCACTGCTCAGGGACTCAGCTTTCAAGGATTCCCAGTTGATAATTTTATATCCACAACCTAATAGATTTTTAGCACTCAATAACCGTTTTGCTCCTACGCATGTGTAAGTACAGTGCATCCTGTGCTGAACCCCTAGCTGCCCAGGTGGGACCCCGCTTGAGACGGAGAGCAGAGCCTGTTTGTGGCAACCTCCCTCTCCTAAGCCCCGGCTGAGGGGGCTGCCTTGGGGGTGGGGCTCCCAGCTCTGCTCTGCCTCACTCCTCTCAGCACAGGCTTCCAAGAAGGTCTGTCTCTGACAGCTGTGTTCTAGGAGCTTCTCACCCTCTCTCTGCCCAAAACAAAGACTACTGGGTGTGCAGTGGTCAAAGCTCAGGAGGAGTAACCTCTCTCTGGGCCGAAACCCATCAGTGAGCTAGAGCAGTGGTGTGCAGCTTGGGCCGTGGCCGTCAGAGGGTCGCGCAGTCAGCTGAGTGGGTTGCGATTAGCATTCTCTCTCTTGACAAACAGACTAAAGGGGAAAATTACAGGATGCACTACATCATAGGCAGGATGAGTCTTATTTTGTGAAACCATTTCCAGATATATATAACTTATATCTATCTATCTAGATAGATATAACTTATATCTATCTATTTATAATTCTATAATTTATTGGGGCAGGATGTAAAACGCATTCGTAACTCTGAGTCAAAGCTGAACCGCATTACTAAAAACAAACTCTCCCTGGTTTTCACCTCACAGCCCCACGGCAGAGCCAGGCTTGGCCTCTCATGTTCCACACAGTCACTGGATGTCTTTAGATGACAAAATGTTTTAAGTGCCAGCAAGGTGCACGAAGAGGTATCATGGTGTTGGGCAAAGTGTGGTGGGTCCTTGTGGCTTCGGGCAAGTCACAGAACCGTCAAGCTTCAGTTTTCTCCCCTATGGAGAGGGAGGCTGGGGAGGGGACACGCCTGTGCGATCCCTTCCAGCTCAAAGTGTCGGAAACCATCACAGGTGGCAGCCTGGGCTAACAAAGACTTGCTCAATTCTGACCTCTAGTGGCTGTGAACTCATTATTCCTCCCAGTTGGGGTTATCGTTGGAAAACTTGCCACCTCCACTTGTCTCCACATTTCCAGTCTGTTTTCTTCAGCATTCATTTGATAAAGACTTCCTGAACACCTCCTATGTGTATATTATTTTAAGAAAGGAGGGGGAGCAGATAAAGAGTACAGATAGAGAGCTGACTATTCAAGTCCAGGCTGTTTGACTGGGACAAAGTGAGTCACATCTCTGTTTCCTCATCTGTAAAATGGGAAGAAAATCACCTATGTCACCAGTGGTCATGTGGATTTAAGGAGACCCATGGCAGGTGCTTCTTACCTGGGGAGTGACTATGATTCTATCACCATAGCCATAACCTGGGAAGATGCTCGTAACCTAGTCCCTGCTGTGAAGATGCATCAAGTCTTCCCAAAGGCCTTACACTGCTTCTTCAGAAAGGCCAGTCTGCTAAGAGATATCTGGTAAAGCGACCTTTCGGTTACACAGAGAGAGGGACTGGTCTTAGTTCTTTAAATGTTCGGTAGAAGTCACCAGTGCAGCCGTCAGGTCCAGGGCTGTCCTCTGCTGGGAGATTTTAAGTCACCAATTCAATCTCCTTCCAAGTTACAGATCCATTCAGATTTTCTATTTCTTTGTAATTTAGTTTTGGTGGGTTTCAATGTTCCTTCATCTGGCATACATTTGTCCACAGTATTCTCTTACAATTCTTTTTATTTCTGTAGAATCAGTACTAATATCCTCATTTTTATTTCTGATTTCAGTGATTTGAGTCTTCTCTATTTCTTATTCCATCTACCTAAAGGTTTGGCAAATTTGTTGACCTTTTCAGAGAACCAACTTTTGGCGTCAAAGATTTACTCAATTGTTTTCTATTCTCTACTTCACTTATCTTTGCTCTAATCATTATTTCCTTCCTTCTGATTGCTCTGGGCTTAGTTTGTTCTTCTTTGTCTAATTCCTTAAATAGCAGTCAGGTTGTTGAGACCCTTCTTGTTTTCTAATGGTTTTAGCTGTACAGTTCCCCTTAGCACCACTTTCGCTGTGTTCCATGTTTTGGTATGTTGTGTTTTTGTTTTCAAACATCTCTATTTTCTAATTTCCCTGTGATTTCTTCTTTGATCTATTAACTGTTTAAGAGTGTTATTTAGTTTCCACTGATTGGCGTGAGTTTTCCAGCTTTACTTCTGTTACTGACTTCTAACTTCATCCTGTTGGGGTCAGAGAAGATATTTTGTACTATATCTACCATTTCAAATCCATTGAGACTTAATTAGTGGCCTAACATGTGGTCTGTCCTGGAAATGTCCCCTGTGCATTTAAGAATGGGTATTCTGCCGTCAGAGAGTATTTTGTATACATCTGCTAGATACAGTTGATTTATTGTGAAAATTTCTCTATTTCCTCCCTTTTCTGATTGTTCTATCCATTATAGAGAGTGGGGTGCTGAACTATTGTAGAATTGTATTTCTCCCTTCAACTGTGTCAGTTTTTGCTCCGTGTATCTTGATGGTCTGTCATTAGGTACATAAATGTTTATAATTCTATCTTCTTGGTATATTGACTCTTTCATTGATGCACAATGTACTTGTTTCTTATAATCCTTTATGCCTTAAAAATCCCAAGTCTATTTTGTCTAATATCAGTATGTTTCATCTATCTACTTCATTTTATCTAATGTCAGTATAGCCACCCCTGCTCTATTTTGGTGACTATTTTACATTGGGTATTTTTTTCCCACTCTTCATTTTCAATCCATCTGTGTCTTTGGATCTAAAACGAGTCTCTTGTATACAGTATACAGTTGGGTCATGGTTGTTTTTTTCTTAAACCCTTCTGCCAATTTCTGTCTTTTGATTGGGGAGTTTAATGTTTCTATTTGAAGTAATTACTGATAAGGAGGGACTTACTTCTGTCTTTTTGCTGTTTGTTTTCTATACGCCTTATACCTTTTTGTCTCTCATTTCCTGCGTTGCTGTCTTTTATGTTTAGTTATGTTTATGTTTTTCTAATGAAACATTTAAACACCTTTCTCATATCCTTTTGTATATATTTTCTAGCTACTTTCTTTGTGGTTACCGTAGGGATTACACTAAACTTCCTAAAATCATAACACCCTAATTTGAATTTATTCCAGCTCAACTTCAGTAATTTACAAAGACTCTGCTCCTTCGTAGCTCTGTCCCCACCCCTTTTGGCTCATGTCACAAAATCACATCTTTACACATTGTGAACCTAAGAACATAAACTAACAATTCTTTTAAATGCATTAATCTCTTAAATTATGTGGGAAAAAATGTGGAGTTACAAACCAAAGTTAAAATAATATAAATGTTTAGACCAGTACTTGTTTTTTGTTGTTAAAAAGTGTATTAGTCTCTAAAATTATGTAGAGACCAAAAAATGGACTTACCAACCATTGTTATGACAATATTGGCTTTTCTAATTGTCCAAGTATTTCCTTTATTGAAATCTTTTTTTCTTCATATGGGTTCGAGTTACTGTCTAATGCTTTTTCCTCTCACCTTGCTGGGCTCCTTTGAGTACATCCTGCAGAGCAGGTCTAGCAGTAACAAACCCCCTTGTCTTTTATGTACCGTGGAATGCCTTGATTTCTCCTTCACTTCTGAAGGACAGTTTTTCTGGATACAGGACCTTGGCTTATGGTTTTTCTCTAGCACTGACTGCATCAGCCTATGGCCTCAGGGCCCCAAAGTGTCTGAGAAAGCTGCTGCTAATCTTACAATGATCCCTTGTACATAACAAGTTGCTTCTCTCTTGCTGCTTTCAAGATTCTTTCTTTGTCTTTAAAAGTTTGATTACAATGTGTCTTGGTGTGGTCTCTTTTGAGTTCATCCTACTTGGAGTTTATTGAAGTTTTTGGATATTTATATTCATATCTTTCATCAACTTAGGGAAGTTTTCAGCCATTATCTCTTCAAATATTCTCTCTGCCCCTTTCTCTCTTCACCTTCTGGGACTCACACAGTGCATATGTTGGTCCACTCCACGATGTCCCATGTGTCCCTTAGGCTCTGTTCACTCCTCTTCTACTGCAAGTTTGCTGCTTCTTTCTTCTGCCTGTCAAAATCTGCATTTGAATCACTGTAGGAAATTCTTCATTTTAGTTATTGTACTTTTCAGCCCCAAATTTTTATATACAAGGTCTGTTCAGAAGGTAGCCCCCCAAGTAATAAGAAAAATAGAGACATTTCTTGACAAAGATACAAGATACAAGAAACATTGTACACAGGACAATGAAACCTCCGTCCCCTTTCAAGTAGGCACCTTGAGACCTCACACGGTTCTCCCAGTTGCCATCTGTTGTCCTGTCGTATTTTCCTGAATTTCATCAATTGTCTGAAATCTCTTCCCTTTCAAAGGTGATTTTAGTTCTGGGAAAAGCCAGAAGTCACAGGGTGCCAAATCTGAGCTGCAGAGGGGGAGTCACCTGAGTGATTTGATGTTTCACTAAAAATCTCTGCACCAGACGTGACGCATGAGCGGGTATGTTGTGATGAAGCTCCCAATCACCACTTGCCCACAGCTGCAGCCTTCTCAATCATCTGACTAGTTTCCATGGAGGAATGTTCAAGCTTAATGAAAATTTATTGCAGATTCATTGCTCTACTGGCTCAGTCATTTTGAATGTGACGACCACAAGGTACACATGCTCACTCAATGGCGTCTATCGCCCCCACTGACTAGCACAGTGAAGTTGTCATTGTTCACACATGTGCACTCCAGTCCACTCTCCTTGGCTGCCAGGTTACATCAATGTTGTGCAAACCATTCTCATTATACTAACAATAGCTGGACTTTTCTTGGACAGACCTATATTTTTAGGTTTTCTTTCTCTTTATATTTCCATTTTGTTCAACCATTTTCTTGAATTTCTTCACATCTTCCTTCAGTTCTCTGAGCATCTTTAAGACAGTCATTTTAAAGTTTTTGTCCAGTATATCTGCCATTAGGTTCTTTTCAGGAGCACTTTCTATTGATACATACATATTTTTTTCTTTTGAATGGGCAATACTTTCCTGTTTCTTTGTACACGCTGTGATTCTTAGTTGAAAACTGGACATTTGAATCTAGCCATGTGGTAACTTTGGAGATCAGATTCTCCCCTAACCCAGGGTTTGCTGTTGTCTGTTGTTATTATTGTCCCTGTACCAAGGATCAGACTGAGGTGTAAAACTTAAGGTCTTTTCAGGTCTTTTTCTGAGCCTGTGTCTTTCTCTGGGTGTGTGTGGTCACTTTCTGATTTCCCTCATATATTCAGTAGCTTTTGAATGCACGAGTTTTTCTTTTCCGGTTCCCACAAAGGGGAGAAAAGGAAAATAAGGGGGATTAAAAATTGGGGGGGGGGGGAGGGCACCAGTACTTCCCCTTAAGACACTTCAGGTGTTCAGGGAGGGGCTCACATCATTGGGACAAAATGCAACAATGGCCACCCACCTCTTCATCTGTCCCTCTGTAATCAGAGGCAACAATGAGCAGAGCACACGGCCCTTATACTTTGAGGACAGGCTCTTTTTTGCCTGCCCTAGCTCCTGCAAGCTCCATGCAAGCTGCTCCAGAAACAAATGCACAGCTGTCCACTACATAGCTGGGGTAAGGGATAGGTTACCAAGAGGTGAGCATTGACTGAAATTAACACCAATTTACTGTCATTTGGAGGTTGCAAATTTTCAATAGCTTTCAGAGTTCCAAAATAGTTCCATCAGTCAGATGCAACTGTTGCCTAAATAGACAGATTCCTAGTGCTTCCTACTCTACCATCTTCATAATAGTTTTATAAAACACCAATTTATTTAATCCTCATAACAATCTATCATGCAGGCAATGTTATCCCCATTTTATACATAAAGAAACTGAGGCACAGCCTTACCCAAAGTCACACAGCTGCAAAGTGGCAGAGCTGGGATTCAAACCTAGGAAAGGTGGCCTCAGAGCCCAGCTCTTTACGACTATGCTATGCTGCCCATCTTTAGATAAACCCCATACTGGTGCTTTAGGAACCTAAAACAAGCCTCATGTTTACAGTCCTTTTATTATTATAGGTTTAACCTTGGCTAAAATACTTATAAATGACTATAAAGATTTTAAGTTCTCTCACTAATCATCCTGACAAGGAAAAACTCAATGCTATATTTTGTATGAAAAGTTAGTAATGAACAAAAGGTCTAGGAGGAATGGTTAGATAAATAGTCAGCTATCTATTTATATATTTAATGGAATGCTGTGCAGCTATTAAAAAGACTGAGACACTTTTATATGTACTATTGCCAAATGACCTCCGGAAGCCAATGTTCAATTTAAAATACAAGATATAGCCCTGGCTGGTATAGTTCAGTGGATTGAGCACAGGCTGCAAACCAAAACATTGCTGGTTCAATTCCCAGTCAGGGCACATGCCTGGGTTGCAGGCCAGGTCCCCAATAGGGGGTGCTCAACAGGCCACCACACATTGATATTTCTCTCCCTCTCTTTCCCCTTTCCTTCTCCTCTCTAAAAATAAATAAAATCTAAAAGAAAAAAAGAAATAACTAAAAGTAAATAAATAAGTAAATAAAATAAAATAAAAGAACACTGAGTATTATATGCTAACCTTTACTTGTCCTTTTTAAAAAGGGTGAACTATACAAACATACTTACAAGTGTGTATACACATCCCTAGAAGGATATGCAGGAAACTAGGAACAACTACTGCCTTTGGCAAGGGGAACGCAAAGCTCTGGTCTCGTTGCTGGGAGGGAGACTGGCTTTTCTGTGTGTATTTTTGTACTGTTTGACTTTTTATCATGTGCATACATTATTATTCAAAATAACTTTTTAATGTCATAGATACTTCCTGTGAAAAGGAGTAGTTGCAGTAGACTCCCCAGCAGTCTCCACGGAGTATTTTCATTGGCATTCTCAGCTATTCAAGCCCCAGGAATTCAGCTCCCGGGAGCTACCAGTTCTAGGGAATTGGTGTAGAGGCTCCCACTTATAGACTGAGTGACAGAGGCTGTCCACCCTGACACAACACTCACCAAAGCAGGAGCTGGCCTGTGGATTAGAAGTGGACATAAAATATGCCACTTCACAGACCCTTACATCACTGAGGCTACTTGGCTCTCCTAAGAAATAAAGTGTGAATTCCTTTCATTTGCTGTACCAGGCCCTGGGATTATTTCAACCCATCCTGTTCCTCATGCAGATGAAAATAAGAATCTGGAACTAGGATGAGTGCAGGGATATTGCATAGGGAACAGCCTGTCACCCTTTCTTGGTTAAGAAAGCCCACATTCCACTGCTCTTAAAAGCTCCTTAAAGTGTGGATGGACAGATTCCCCCCACCCTCCAGCTAAAGGATATTTGTTCTTATTGGTCTGAATGCAGTAAACAACAACCAGAAACCTTGCATTCAGATAACTGGTTCCTTTAGGTTTATTTTAAGATCTGTCATCATGCGACTCTGACCTCATAGGTCCTTAAAGGCTAAGTTGGGCTGCATATCAAACACCAAGGCCAGAGACCTGGTCCAGCTCTACCCAGTGACTCAGCCTGGAAGAGGTCCAGGCCCCAGGGACGCACGGGTTAAAGGGACTGGAGGCAGACTTCCCTGCAGGGAAAGGACGCAGAATGAGGAGACCTGCGTCACTAACCAGCCTTTTCACTTTTCTTCTAGTCTCGTTTGTTGATGTATGCCAACATTTGTTATTAGCAGATATTTGCAGAGGACAGATTTTGAAAAGTCACCTTTAAGACTGATGAGTTTTTATAGGACTTAAAGATAGGACTGCTACTTTTTTCTCTTTCTAACTAATAGGAAGGTGGTAATGTCTGTTGTCAGACTATCTACAGTTTGAGTTTCTAACCACTAGGGGCTGACCTAACTCCACCAAAACCAACAATTTCCTAAACCACTTTTGCAAATTATTAGGTTTCAGGATGACTGAATTATACTGTTCATACACTGTCATGTCTAGAACCATTCCTCCCAACACTGAAGGGCATGAAGTCAAAACAGTGGAAAATTTCAGGTTTGGGTTCAAAGACAAAGAGCAAAAATAGGACAAGAAATAACGCAAACCAGAGAGAACATTAGAACCAGAAAGGCATCGAAAGGTCCTGGCTCCGTGGCTGGCCTCACTGGATTGTGACCACCGGAGGCGCTCACCCACCACGCCCCCACCCCACTCCTCGAGAATCAGAATCCCCAGGAGTGGGGTCTGAGCACCATATGTTCAAAAAATCCCCACGGCTGGTTTTTACGTGCAGCCAAGATCAGGACGCCTGTGCTACCCTAACACTCACTTCAGAGAGGAAGAACCTGAGGCTCTGAGAGGGCACGGGCCTCGACCATCACACTTCTAAGTTGCTACTGGGGAAAGCCCATCCCCTGACTCTCCATCCAGTGCTCTCGGGGGGAAGCGTTCCCCTCCAGCGCATCAGGACACATATGTGTGACGCCACTTACGGTTGGGTTTCTGGCAGTCTTCCCGAATGATACGGTGGATCTTTCTGTGCAGTTCTTTGTCTTCTCTGGTTACCTAAACAGCAAGAGAAGTTCGGAGAGAAAGTATCCTTAAGTAACACAGAGGCTATATCATCCAGACTCCCAAATTAGTACTTGAGATAGTTTCTACCGATTTCGTACAATCATCATCCTGACACCAACATGCTTTTCTTTTTCCTTTTAGATTTTATTTATTTATCTTTAGATAGGAAGGGAAGGAGAAAGAGAGGGAGAGAAACATCAATGTGTGGTTGCCTCTTGTGGTACCCACCTGCCCTCTACCACCTGGGACCTGGTCCACAACCCAGTCATGTGCCCTGACCCGGAATCAAACCAGCGACTATTTGGTTCACAGGTTGGCACTCAATCCACCGAGCCACACCACCCAGGGCACAACATGGTTTTCAATGCTGGGCCTACTGTCAAACCAGTTCTCACCCTCAGCAGCTTACTGCTTTGTCACTGACCCGGAGGTACACCTTTCGGGGGCTGGTCCACTGAGGCCATGATGTAAAGAGAAACTGGAATACTTTTAAGGAGCAGCTTTCCTTTTAAATATTCATAACACATTCATAAATTTCTTTTATTTGTTATATTTTTGAGGGGGGCACGAGTGACCGAAGGCTCTGATCTCAACTCCAGGACTCTTTCCTCTGGGCTCTGACACCTGCCTGGCATTTCATTAGTTTTATTCCTCTTTCTAACCACGAAGAAAAACAAAAGAACTAAAATTGTAAGGACAAGCTAGCAGGGGGATACATCTAGCCTATCCCTTGAGACCCTTTCTGTTTTCAAAGGCAAACCTAACCTAGTTCCTTCCTCAGCCAGCTCGGGTAAGAGGAAAGCAGCAGCCAGCTGGGTCCCCCTTCATGTTCAGTAGTAAATCTGGCAATAAAACAAACAAATAAAAAATAGAAAGGGGAAAAGAGGAACAAAGGAAAAGAGGAAGAAAGGACAAAGAAAAAAGAAGCATGCAAACAAACACATACAGGGTGGGGCAAAAGGAGGTTTATAAGTTGTTCACATGGAAAAATAATAATAAATAATACAAGAACAAACTGTGTTCTCCTGGCTGGGTGGCTCAGACAGTTGGAGCATTGTCCTGTACACATTAAGGTTGCGGGTTCAATCCCTGGTTGGGGTGCATATGGGAGGCAGCCGATTGATGTTTCTCCCTCACATTGATGTTTCTCTCTCCCCCACTCCTCTCTCTAAAATCTATAAAAACATACCCTCGAGTGAGGATTAAAAAAAAAAAAGGAACTGTGTTTTGCATACTCACAACTGTAAACTTACTTTTGCTCCACCCTGCCTATCAGGAGTGCTTGTCTGAGGGGACTTACAGAGTGACCAGACTGGAGGATGGGGACACCAATGGTGCCTGCCTTTTCACAGGCTGTTGTGAGGATTACATGCGGTGATGGGGGTGACGGCTGCTGAAGGCTGGAGAGCACCCCACAAACAGGAGTATCCACACCAGGTGGTGACTACTCCTCGGAAGCCAGACGGCTATGTTGAAAGGGAAGGCGTGGTGTCAGGGAAGGGGGGTGGCTCCACTGAGGAAAGAGAGCAATTGTTGCTTGATCACCCCACTCCAGCTCACACTGACTCACAGGAGGAAGTGCCCCAGCCCTGCCACGCCTCAGCCACGGACTGCTGCCCGTGGTCCTGCTGCTCCTCGGGAAGGGCTGCTTTCAACAGAGTCAGCTGGCCGACCCCAGAGCCTCCCAGGGGCACTGTGATGGGGTCGGGGGTGGGGACAGGCTGGGGGCTGCTAAGGTGAGCTGCCCATCACGAGCTTCTGCAACCCCACAAGAGGCAACCGACTCCCAGCTGGCCTTCCCATCCCGGGAGGGAGTGGCCTGCCCTCAGCCTTCTGCAGATTGGAATACTGTTTTCTAAAGCTGTTCAAATAGTATTTAAAGCATCTCTTAATTTTTTAAAATGTTCTAAAATGGGGCATCACTAGAGTAAATCGATATCAAGAAAATGTCCTATTAAGGAAAGCTTCCCCTCGGGAATCATGCCTGTAAATAGTGAGACTTCTGGCATGCCTCCGAGTTTTGATCTGTCTCCAGGTCTGTCACTTGTAGCTGAAGCCACATCCGTGCTACTGACATCAATGGTCACGAGGGGCCTGGCTGCAGCCTGGCTGCAGCCCGGCTGCAGCCTGGCTACTCCGATATTCAATGTAGGCAGTGAAAGGCGAACCTTTGATTCTGAAAGCATTAGGAAAGCAAGCACTTGTGCCCCTAGTGAGAATGCCGACCAGTCAAGCCTTTAGGCAGCCCATCAGGCTGTGCTGACTGAAAGCTTAGAGGTGCATGCCTTTGCTCCAGTAGTTCCTAAGAGTCAACCTTACAGAAACACACAAGTTCAAAGAGTTGTGCAAAAATAGCCACAGCAGCAGTATTTGTGAGAGCAAAAGTTGGAAACACCATAGATGTCCAGCAGAGAGAAGGGGTTAAAATACTGATGGCAAGTTCCCATAACATGGAATACCATGCAGAAGTCAAAAAGAATGAGGTCGATTTCTAAGTGCTAACATGGAAAGATGGTGCAATGAGCTATTTTGGTGTCAAAAAAAAGTTGCCGAGCCCTGGCCACTATGGCTCAGGGAATTGAGTGCTGGCCTGCAAACCAAAGGGTCACCAGTTGGACTCTCAGCCAGGGCACATGCCTGGGTTGTGGGTCAGATCCCCAGTAGGGGCCACATGAGTGCAACCACACATTGATGTTTCCCTCCTTCTCTTTCTTCCTCCCTTCCCCTCTGTCTAAAAGTAAATAAATAAAATCTTTAAAAAAAAGTGGCTGAGCATTATTTAGAGCGGTGGTTCTTAAATGTCCCGGGGACACTAGGCAATGTCTGGGGACATTTTTGGCTGCCGCAGCCCGGGAGCTGCTACTGGCATGTAGTGGGTGAAGGCCAGGGATGCTGCTAGCCGTCCTACAACACACAGGGCAGCCCCCGTGACAGAGGTGTCCAGCCTGAACAGTGCTGAGGTTGAGAAATCCTGACTTACAGAATGATCACATTTTTTTTGTAAAGCAAAAAAAAGCCAAAGCAACATATATTTATATGTGTGTATTTGTAAATGCACAAGTGTCTAAATGCACAAATGTTTAATAGAATGCTATTAAAAGTAGTACCTTAGGGTTCCTTACTTTATGTACCTCTTTAATGATTTTTAAAAACAGTAAATAGGCATTCTGAAGTAATACATATGTTTGTAACTGAAGCTAAGAAGGAAAACATTAAGTTGCAAGTCTCTCACATAGAAGAGGTTATCAAAACTGCCATCCTTCTGGTAAATGAATCCTTTCTCCTGCAGGAGCTTTATGGCACTCTTAAATATGCTATGAATTGCCTTGGAAGCGGTGTCATTCTTGAAATCTGCCTGTGGAAGGAAAAGGGAGAAAAAAAAGTGAGTCCCGTCTTACAGCACCTGAGAGCAACTCCCTGGACGAACTGGTTTATGAATCCACCCAACAGGCTTTCCATCTGCTGAGTCAAAAAGACCCAGGCACACAGCAGCCTAGCAGGACGGCAGGTGAGGCGGACTGGGAAGTTTGCTCCGGCAGGATCGTGCCCGGTAACTGTTCTACACCTCAGTGATGACTTTTTGTTTAGATCAATGATATGAAGTGGAAAATGCAAAAGGACAATTTTAATTTTTTTCATACAGAGCTAAAACACTGTATACATATTAGCTGTTTCTTTTTTCCCCATGAAAATCATGGCTATATACAATCTCCCTCTAAGGACTTTAAAGAATGTCACACACACTGAAATAAGTCGGGGACTCCTCATGTAGAAAGTATTAAATCGTCTCCTTATTTTATATGAAGATCGATGGTGGCAAGCAGCTCTGCAGAGACTCGCCAAAGGCGGGTGTATGGGCTGCAGACAGACCGGGGTCCCCGCGCGAGGCACAGCCAGCACAGGGAAGGGGCCTCCGCGGCTGTCCGTCAGTTTGCTGTCTCCTCGGTTTCAGTATTTCCTCCCTTCTCGAAGAGCCGGGGTTGCCTAGAGAGCTCGCTGGGCCACCCTATTTCTTACTCCCAGGGACCCCAGGTTTTGGCTATGACCCGTGGTTAACTAGACTCTGGTTCTTCAGCTGGGGACTCTGTATTTCATCTCGGCCACCTTCTCCCTGGCACAACAGCGGGTGATCAATAAAACATCCGTGTAATCAATGGGAATATTTTAGAGGTCACGTCCTCTATATTCCATTAGGGATTTTCATTTCATTCCTCAAACAAAGAAAGTGGTGAACAATAACTGTCCTTCAAGGCACAGATCCATTTTTAAAGTGACAGCAGTCTGTCAATACAGTAAGAAGACTAGAGTGCCAAAGAAATGCAGCTAAGCGTCCAAAACAGTGTGTGAAGGCCAGGTCCTCCCTCTGGTGAAAGGTCCCCATGAAGGCTCTCTGGGGCAGCGCCCAGGGATGCTGAAAAAGACAATGTGCTCGGGACTTGCGGTTGCCACCTCCTCCAAGTGCTGCGGAGAGGAAAGAAACCCCCCAATGGCCTCAAGGGCTGACAGTACCATCCCTGAAGAAACCTTCTCTTTCCGGGAGAGGCGCCCCCAACAGACACAGTCTTAATCTAATAGATCCTGGCAATGTCTCCCCAACGTGCTCTACTGGGTTGAAGAGCGAGTCTGAGACTCTTAAATTATAGTCTAAGTTTTTAGTTTTATGGTCATTAAAACATTAGGGCCTAAAAATCGACAAACATTCCAGGTTACGACAGCACCCACTCTCCGAGGGGAAAATAAGGCCCAGAAATACTTGGTGACTCCCACAGGCAGAGAAGTTACCTGGGTGTGTTTAGAATAAACACCTCCTCTAGCAATCCTCAGTCAGACATCCTCTTATTCAGTGGGGCTTCAGACAAAGCTGTTTTTAATTTTATAGGTGAGTTACTTTACTTCGGGGAAACACAACCCAGTATAGGATCCCCCACAAAACACTGTACTTCATCTTCATACTTCTAAGGAGATTCGGTTTCTTTGGTCAGTTTAATATAAGGATCCTAGGGGTCGAGGCAGTATTACATCTCTGTTAAGATAGAACTGAACTGGAAACTAACCAGAAATGTTGTTACATAACTATTCCTGCCATTGAAAAAGACTCTTACTTCTCCCTAGACCGTACAGAAAGCCCTGCTCCTCCTCCCAGATTTCAGTCAGATCAAGCAGCAGGAAGAGAGGGGGCAGGCCTGCGAGCTTAAAAGCACGGTTTCAGCTGCGAACAAGGAGGACCCAGCAGAGAAGGCTCTCCGTCAACAGCAACAACATGCGAAGCTTCCTTGCCAGAAACATTTGCCTCGGCTGACATTAAAACATATCTCCCTCTCATAAAGACACCGAGTCTCAAGGGTGAAACCTCCAATCTTCTCTTCTTAGCCAGTAAGTAGCTCTTCCTGGCCTGGGATTTGCGTCTTTCTTGTCTTTTTCTAAAGAGCAATGACAGACTCATCCGATTCAGGAAATTGAAACTGCTCAGAGGAAAAAACTGACTGGCTGGACGTGCTGCGCCTTAGCAGGCCTCTCCTTGTTGCAGGTCAGGAACTGGGTGGATCTCTGAAATATATATAGTCTTCATTCCCAAACAAACTCAACATTTATCCAGCTGTCAAACAAACAATGGTTTTGCAAAGCCTGCTTATCAGGTTTCTGGATTTGCTAAGAAGGGCCCCACTGGAAAAAAAAAAGAAAGGGAGAAAACATTCAAACCCCCTCTCCCTCCGCCTATCAGCTCTAACACTATCCCAGTGATTTCTGTGAAGCTTTCATCTGCATGGCGACACGAAATGAACTGGAGCTAGGGTTTCGCCAGCATTGTAAAGCATCCTTACTCTCCCAGGCTCAATTAAGCAGGATTCAATTGAACGACACTGACCTCACCAAGCAGAGCCATGTGAGGGAACAATTCATAATTGATGGAAAATTAGTTTCCAAAGACTGAACAAAGTGCCATAGTCATTTCTTTTTAAACATGCAGCGCTGGGCAGACGCAGGTTTCTCCCCTAAGCATTTTAAGAAAGAAGTCATGGCCAAAGTTCTCCACGGACTGTTCTGCATGGAGGAGCCTTGTAGTCCTCAGAGACCCCGAGTCTCTCCACTTAATCAGAGCCCTCCCCGAAGAGCTGGTTCACAGGAAGAATGTGGTCTTCGCTAGGCTTCAGCGTTTCCTTCCAAACATGCCAACAGAGTGGCCAGAAGTCCTAGAAGGCCAACTTGGCAGGGAGCCCTCTCTAAATGATTAAATGGAGAAAGGTCAACCTTTCTGTCAGGAGACAGCCGGAAAGCCGCACTGGTTAGGAGCAACAATGACACAGGACAAAGCGGGCAGTCATGACCCTCCCCGCCTTGGTGTTTCCTGAAACAGTATCCCTCATCTCTGTGTATAAAATTATGGGTCACTGGACACAGCCTGGTGCCAGGAAGAGGTAATTAGGTCCATGAATGAAACTGAGAAGCAGGGGTCATGCCTAGGAAGTTGGATGGGGGCCTGGGATCTGTTCTCCCAGAATCATGAAGAGTAACTTACGTTGCCTAACAAGGGGATTCGGAGCAGCCCTGTTGGTGATGGCAAAAAACTGGGAAACATCTAAACAGCCCAGGAAAGGAGAGGCTGGCTATATAAACTATGGTGCATGTAACAAAAGAGTATTGTGCAGTGGCAGATCTCTGTATGGCAAGGAGAGGATAAGACACAGTTCAGTGAAAAGCTAGGGACAGACTAGTGTTTAGCCTGATACCAACTGTGTAAAAGAAAAAGCGGGGGGGGGGGGGGGTATCTCCAAGTGGATTTCCGTGACACCAGTAACAGTGCTTGTCTCTGGAGAAGGGGTGGGAGGGAGACACACTTTTAACTAGATACTTCCAGGGACTATTTTAATTTTTAAAAACCATTCATTCTTCAATTAACTAATAATTATCAAAAACCTGCTCTATGGTGCACCAGTTCTAGACCCTGGTCCTAGAGGACAGAGAGTAAGAGAGGGGAGACCTCTGCTCGGAGAGAGCAGATTCTCTGGGAGGAACAGGCGGGCGAACCAACAAATACAGTGATGCAATGCGGTATGAAAGCAGGGTGGCAACACTGTGAGGAAGCAAGTGGCCATCATAGCAGATGGTCTAGCGGGGCAAGAAGGTGGCATTTAAGCAGAGATTATCCTCTGGTGGAAAAATGAAATAAATAAAAACACAAGTCATGTTACAACAACAAAAAATCCAAGAATTGCAATGAAAGGGAAAGCCAAACACTGAAGTCTCAAATAATTCTTAATTCCAAGTAAATATGTAAACACCAAACTGTGTTAAGTTCACCTTTAAAAACAAAAAGATTTTATCCATTCATTTTTAGAGAGAAGAGAAGGGAGGGAGAAAGAGAGGGAGAGAAACACTGATGTGAGAGAGAAACATCGATCAGACGGCTCTCGCATGATGCACCCCGACTGGGGACCGAGCCTGCAACCCAAGCATGTGCCCTGACCGGAAATCAGTCCGAGACCTTTTGCTCTGTGGGATGACGCCCACCTGAGTCACCCCAGTCAGAGTAAGTTCACCTTCAACATTAGGGGTGAGAAAATGGGGACAGCTCTTCCCAGGAGAATAAAAGTAACTTAAAGTGTTCCTTGAAATGTCTACTTATAACCCAGAATGAAAATAATTGGTCTTTATTCAAACTCCTAAAATATGATAGGTTAACTGTACTCTGAAGAGACAGCATGTCAGTAAAAGCCTTGGTTCAAGTTCAATAATCTTGGAAGGATAATTACCTCTTCTTGCCTACTTTCCCCTTACCTGGCACCTGCTGACATTAAGTACCCATCTCAGTGAATACTAAGAACTAAGTACTATGAAGCTTAGACTATCATATATTTTTTTCTACCCAAAGATTAATTAAGCTTAATAAGAGTAAGTCAGTGATCTTCCCAGAATAGAAAGAACATGAAATAGAACCATAACCTCTATTCCTGGGGTCCGCCCTGTGAGTCTTCATAACTCACTCACTCCCTTCAGCTGCAGGTCTGGGGCAGGGAACCCGGATTCCCACAGGGGCCCACTGCACTTACTTGCTCGGAGCAGGTGCTGCGAATCACGGGCTGATTGGCCAGGGACAGCAGAGACTCCACCATTTCCAACTCCTGCTGGTAAAAGGTTTGCACTCTGTTCTTCATGAGGAATTCTTTGGCTTTTTCACTCAGCAAACATGTGAGATTGGCAAGGTCCAAGGCACCTGGATTTTTGCTGGGGAAAGTTTTAAGAAACCTTGTTGAAAAGTATCACCTCCGTTCCTTTTTGATGTATGTAAAACAAACTCAGCTAGAAAGTATAACGCTACATTGATGTTAGTTTTTGACATGGAGTACTGTTCATACTACAAGCACTGTGTGGTTGTTTAAAAAGAATGAAACAGAATGACAAGAACTAATATAGTCATGATAGCTTAAGGAAAAAAATTGTAGAATAGTATGTAAGGCAGGGGTGTCAAACTCATTTACACCGGGGGCCACATCAGCCTCACGGTTGCCTTCAAAGGGCCTAATGTAATTTTAGGACTGTATAAATGTAACTACTCCTTAACTAGGGGCAAGGAGCTCGACACTGCCGCTGGGTAGAAACAAGGTGCCAGGACGGATAAAACAAGGTGGAGGGCCGGATTTGGCCCACGGGCCTTGTGTTTGCCACCTGTGATGCAAGGTGTGATCCCATTTTTGTAAAAGCAAGTGACAACCCACAAAACATCTGGGTGGATACTGCTGCTTGTGTCAGCACGGAGAAAATCGTCTAAAAGGGTAGACGTGAACCCTTGGGCGGTCGTAACCCCTAGGGCTGGCTCTGAGGCGGGAGACAGGGCCACGGAGGACTTTCACTTCTTACTTCATACAGGTCTATAGTTTGGGATGTTTAAAACATAATTTTAAAATAGATGGAATATAGACATGTTTAAAAAATTGAAGTGTACACCGTAAAGTTTCCTTTCTATCCTCCTCCCAGTTCCCACCACTCCTCTGCAACCACTGTTCCTGCTTCTGTCTTCTCCCAGAGTTCTCTGATGCATATACACACTAGAAAACATACAATAAATGCACATGTTCTTGCTCCTCCTGTTTTGCTCTCCCCTGCCTCCCACCGCACCCCACAAAAGAGTAAAATCAGCTCTAGTTGAGAATGACTGGCACTGCGTTTCACAGTTTTTCATTATGACGTGTCATGAGGTCATTCGATTAGGATGCACCTTGGTGCAATTTTCTTCAGGTTTCCTGCTTGGGGCTCATTGGGCTTTTTGGATCTGTGAGTTTATAGTTTTCATCACACTTGGAAAAATCAGCCATTATTTCTTCAGATATTTTCTGTTCCCCCTACTCCTCCAGGGACCCCTGTTACACATGTCTTTTCCTCCCAACAACCTTACAGTCTTACAGTGAGTAGAACAGTGGGCTCAGGATTTGAACCCAGGGCCACCCCAGCATCTGGGCTCCCTCCCTCACCCTGCTTGGCCCTCCTGCGGTGGTTGTATCTTCAGCAGTGGTTGGCCGGAACTTACCGTAGCTCTTCTTTTTCTAGGGCTTGGCTGCGGAAAGGCTGGTCATAAACTTTCCTGTAGATACTGGGCAGCTCAAGCATCCTTGCGATTTGAGTGTTGCACACTGGGTCATCTACTTTACCTAAGAAGCCGCAGGGAAAATCATGCCACAGAAATTACACGGAGTTCAGTTCTTCCCCATGTCCAAGTTGCTGCTGGGGGGACAGTCACTGACACTCTCAGAGGGTCTCCTTCCTTCTGGGAAGTCACACAGTCTCGATGCACTAAATAGATCTCAGCCATCGGGCAAAAAAGGAATGCAGTGCCCTAAGGATCACACACGTGGCCAGGAGTGGCTGGGGACTAGGGAGAGTGCATTAGCTCATTTATTGTAGGCAACCATGGTAGGCAACAGGGGTCCTCCCAGAGATCCCCAAGCAACAACCAGCCAGAGCAGTTGCGAAGGGCATCATCGCTCAGATGATGCAGGACTGCCGTGTATGTGAGTGGCTGTTTTCTTCAAGAGTTAACAAACCTAATGGTGCTCAAGAAATCTCCATCATTTTGAAGAATATGAACACTCTGTCCTAAATGGATTCACACTTGTAACGTCAAAATACTTTAGAAAGGACTATGTTGTCCAAATAACTTTTTCAGCTATATACAACAAATCATGTTTTCCTTCCCAGTTGATTTATGCTTACCTCTATAAAATAAATTTAAGAAACACTGCTTTTCTATAAAAAAAAGCATGTTATAAGGTATAATTTCCTCCATTAAATAGTTAATCATTTTATTTGAACTTTTTAGAGGTGTGACTTTTAGCTAAACAAGTTTACTGGACCCACACCCAGAATAACCACCAATCTGGCAGAAATATCTTGTGCTTACAATAAGAAGCGGCATGAATTTCTCGCTCTTCTCTGAACGTGCGGATGTAACCTCTGACCCGGACGATGTCCCCAATTTCTATCTTTGTCCTCTGCTCAATGGACTCTTGCAGCTTTTTAAGCTGTGAGGTTAAACTCAGTTCTCTTGCCCTTGGAGCAGCTGTAGTTGTTATGGCCAGACCAGAAGAAAAGAGAGAAATGCATAACATAATCGATTCCACCATATTTCTAAGACAGTTTGCACAAGACATTTATTTATTCTATTTCAGATTAATTGTTCTACTATAAGAAATCTGCATAACCTTTTGAAATCCTCCACTGAATAAAAGGCACTGAGCTGTAATTATTCAAAAACAGGGCCAAGGGAACCGTCTAGAAGCCTTGCAGAGCCAGTTCGGTCAGAGGGCTCTATGTGGTCCTCAGCTGAATTCTCTTAGGGTTCAGCTGGGTCCAGCAGCAACAGCTCTCCACAACAGTTCACTGTGTCCTTGCAGGGAGACCGAGGCCTGGAGCAGGGGAGAGGGGGCCTGAGAGTCTCCATTTGTGATTCTGTTTACGGGGAAGGCAATTCACCTTCCGAGGTGGCTCAACACCCTAATCGCTCACCTCTCATCTTCATTGGGTATCTAAGCTAATCACTCAGTATTTCTCTCTCTCTCTCTCACACACCAGTTTGAACTATCAACTTAAGCAACAGAGTCCACCTTACACACAGAAGCACCGTGCATGATCTAAGCTAACCCTGACTTCATGAGCTTAGCACAAGGCTAGATCCATAGGATAAATTCAATAAATGCCAGCTATTTGGACAAAATTATTTTGTTTTCTCTATGGCTTTTCATTGGGGATTACTGGATATAAAGTACAAATAGGTCCAGTTTGTTCCATATTGTTGGAATGTTTGCCAGAAAAAAAAATCAAATTATTCTCTCTTTACAAGGTGTCGCCAGCCACGTGTGTGTGTTTGTGGCTCTTACACAGGCTTCAGTCATTGGGGTTTTTAATACCTTAGAAAACATGCTCTGATCATGTGGCTCAGTTGGTTCGGTGTCGTCCCTCAAAGCAAAAGGTCACTGGTTCAATTTCTGGTCAGTGTACATGCCTGGGTTGCAGGTTTGGTCCCAGGTAGGGCCACGTTCGAGAGGCAACCGATTGATATTTCTCTCCTTCTCTTTCTCCCCCGTCCCTTCCCCTCTCTCTAAAAATAAACAATAAAATCTTTAAAAAAGAAAATGTGGCCCTGGCCATGTCGCTCAGTTGGAGCATCATTCCATGCACCCAAAGCTTGCTGGTTTGGTTCCCGGTCTCACTCTCTCTAAAAATCAGTAGAAACAGGCCCTGGCTGGTGTGGCTCAGTGGACTAAGCACCAGCCTGCAAACTGAGGGGTCACTGGTTCGATTCCTGATTGGGGCACATGTCTGGGGTGCAGGCTGGGTCCTCAGTTGGGGGCATGTGAGAGGCAACCAATCGATGAATCTCTTAAACATCAATGTTTCTCTCCCTTTCTTTTTAAAAATAAATAAATAAAATCTTTTAAAATATAAATAAAAATCAATGGAAACATGCCCATAGGTTAGGATTAAAAAAAAAGAAAGAAAGAAAAGAAAATTGGTTGGTGTGTCTCTCCACACCATGCCCCTCTCCTTTCTTGGAGAGTGAATAAAAACTTCGTTCTCAAAAAAAATTTAAAAAAAGAAAATATGTAATAATTCCATAGTGTTTTGTTTTTAAGTTGGCAGAGAGGCTGCTTTTGTATACCTGCAAGATGACATGCCCTCTGTATTCTTTACGTTTAAGCCCTTCATCTCTTTGGAATACTTTATATTAATTTGTGGAAGACTTTTTGGGGAAACTTTGTCAAGTTATGCGTACTATATCCACTTTCCCAATTCCATTGCTTTTTGCTTTTCATTTCATTTCATCACGTAAAAGTTTGGAGAGCACCTTTCAGTCTTGTCACTGATGACAGCTGTCAGTGCTTTAACGGGGACTCAGGAGAGTCAACACAAACGCCCCTGTCTTCGCTGGAATAAATACACGGCTCCCCCTTCTTTGGGTTGTTTCATGAAAGCTGCAAGGCATGGATGGCAGTTACTCCCTTTTCAACATTGTTATCTACCTAAACCAACACCACATTTGTTAATGCTACTTCATTTCCTGCTGCTGCATTATATTTGGTTTGCCATACATGCACTAGGGTTCCTATAAGGAAATGAATCTCTCATTCGGTCAGATATCTGCTCTTTATTGTAATACGACTTAGATAACTGTGGCTTTGTGCTGTGCGAAGGCATTACTTTTCTTTGACCACGTCTACTACGCCAAGGGAGACAGCCCCCGCAGGAGCCCGGAGGACTTTGTGCATCCGGTGACCTGGTGCAGCTGGGGCTCCAGACCCGATCTGCACTAATGTCCCTCAGCTCACGGGGCTTCTTCAGAAAATGCCCAAGTGTTGCTTTTTAAAAGGTTTTCCGTCTGTGTTCCTATCCCCAACCCCTCATCTACTTAGGCTGAATTCTGAATGTATTTATAAGTTTCGCTACCATTATTCGGACATTACAGGTGATACAACGCTTCATATAGCTCTGCTGAAACCACCAGACTGATGGCTGGTCTGAGAAAAGAGGCCCAGCTTTCAGTTAAAGGGCACGTGAAACTACCAAAAATAGGTGTTCAAGCTGTATAATTTAATGAATATAATGAGATGGCTGGAGCCTGACAGAATTTCATTTTAAGTAGTCTATTCCACACTGGAAGATAAAGCCTCTTTAAAACTCTAACATTAGGGGCCAAGCTTTCTTAACTTTCCTTATAAGCTAAGTCCAAAGGGTATACTCCATGTGACATTTATAAGAGTTAATATCATATTTTTATACCTCAACTGATTTTGAAACATGATTTTGACTCAGGCTAAAATTTTGTTTAAAAAGAAATAGTCTTCATCAGTCACTTTCCCGTGGAAAGCTTTGAAACCGAGGGGAAATAAATTAAAAGGAGAGAATGGGCTGGTTAGAAATAATTTAAAGATACTACTTCATATATAACATGATGAGAATCATATCCAGGCTTTCTCCGCTTACCCACACTTTTTCTTCTCTATTAAGTCCATTCACCCAGATTATTCATCTACTCATCTTAGAGATATTTTTTAAGATCTTACTCTCAGTGTTGAGAGCAATCTTACCTAAAAAGTTACTAAGTATAAGAGTTATATAATATTCCTAATGATGTCATTTCTTTAAAAAAGAGCTGACTCTGAAGATTAAAACAATGTCCAAAACAGGGGTTGGCAAAGTATGTATGCCCCATGGGCCACTTCCACCCACAACCTGTTTTTGTAAATAAAGTTTTATTGGAACACAGCCATGCCTGTTTGTTTATGTGTGGTCTACGACTGCTTCTGTGCTACAAGGGCAGTGCTGAAGAGTTGAGATGCAGACCAAGTGGCCCACAAAGCAGAAGACATTTACATTTACTATCTGGCTCTGTACAGAAAGTTTGCTAAACCTTGGCATGGAATGAGTATGCGTATTCAAACTACGCCTTCTGAATGAAGACTAACAATACAACCATAAATTTGCAAATGATTTTAATACACTAGACATATGCAAAGTCAAATATCTGATTGTCTTATAGGGTTATTTATTTATTTTTTAAAGGGGGGTCCTTTTTTAAGAATTTCGTGTTATATCTTTTATTATTTTTTAACGATTTTATGTATTTACTTTCAGAGAGGAGGGAATGGGGGGAGAGAGAGAGAGAGAAACATTAATGAGTGAGCGATACATTGATCAGTTGCCTCTCGCATGCCCCCAACCCAGGATTCAGCCCACCACCCTGGTGTGTGCCCTGACCGGGAATCAAACTGGTGACCTTTCAGTTCGCAAGCCAGCACTCAATCCACTGAACCACAATCCACTGAACCACAATCCAATGAACCACATCTGCTCATAGTCGGAGCAGATTATCTTATAGGTTTATTTCTTGCCTGTGAGACATCTTCATAAAAGTCTGTTGTCTGTCTTAATTTTTTTTTAACGTACAAATCTTCCCAAGCAAACTTCTACAGTGCCATTGATTGAGATTTTCCCAAATTAGGAAATGGGAATGTGAAAGTTATGTGAAATCAATAGCCAAATTCTAAATGTAAATATATCACAAAATTAAGCAAAGGAGCATCCACTGATTAGTATAGTCAAAGTAGGGGGTTGAGAGTTGGGCAGGAGGGAAAGAATCCACTCTATGTATTATATTCTCACCATGTGTCACATGAGACAGATACTACATGTCAGCTATGACAGCAGGCAATATATATTGAATAACCCCATTGTGTATGGCACCATACTGCATATGTCGTAAAACAGAGGAAAAACAATGGTCCACTTTCTGTAGCTTCTCTAGAACCAAAATAACAATGCATCCTATTTTTTAATATTATTAACTTAAGCAATCCAAAAAAAAACACCTATTAAAATACTGTATAGTCACGCCCTGGCTGGATGGCTCAGTTGGTTGGAGCGTCATCCCCTGCACCAAAGAGCTGCAGGTTCCATCCCTAGTCAGAGCACATACCTAGGCTGCAGGTTCGATCCCTGGTTGGGGCACATCCAGGAGGCAACCCACCGATGTTTTTCTCTCTCCCCCTTCCTCTCTCTCTAAAATCAATTTAAAAACATATCCTTGGGTGAGGATTAAAAAATAAAGTAAATAAATCAATAAAATATACTCAAGAAATTCTAAATGTTGTTTCAGTTACAGTCAATGTGTTTAATACATAATTTTGAAGTTCTTTTTCAGTTTATATTACTCAATGGCTAACTCTAACAAAATCCTACTTTACCTTCTCATCAGTCTTAGAATTCCTGGTATACCTGTGGACCATGTAGGGATTTCCGAAATATCTGGATCTGAATGCCACATAGAAGCTAGTGGCAACCATGTAAGATGAAAAGCTTCAAAATCTGCTGTGGTTGAGTGACACACCCTGAGCAAGGGAATTCCGACCTGACTGGCGATTAAGCTACCACAACTTGACTTGCATAATAACAGGTATAGTATAAGTGAAAGGATGAAACTCCTAGCAACCAGGCCATATTCCTGCAGGCTTAGGAGGAAGGGAGCACCAATGAAATGGGAGAAAGAAAACCAAGTGGCTCCCCTTTAGTATCAGCCTGCAGAGAAGCCAAAGCTCAGAGCTCAGTGCTGCGAGCCGGTCAGTGCACCTCATAGGTGGGTCAATGTGAAACTACAGGCCTACGGCTGTTCCTACAAGCTCTCTTGAGTAAAATCCACTGGGTAGTTGAAAAGCAAAGGAGCATGGCAAATGAAATTACCTGAGGGAGACTCGGTGTTATTCAGCTTTTTCCAGCAGATGCAGTTTATAACTCCAGTGCTATCATCCACTGCAAGAGAAATGTAAAAGATTAGAACAGAGACTTGGGCATTGCTGGTGAATTAGCGCATTGTGACTGCATTAGGCCATACTGAAAGATGGCCTTTTCCAATGGTCTGGTTCGGCAAATCCCTTACTAAGTTCTCCTTCCACCTTTAGACATAATCTCTCACCCTGCACCAGCGGGAACTGCTTGTCTGCAATGTCAAAGTGATACATGAGCCCAGTGGAATGCAGTCAACATTCCACTCACCCTATACCTGAAGGGTACTTATGATTCTTGTCTACGACTCTCTAAAAATGGTGCCCGCTGGAAGTCAAGTGCAAAAATCTCAATGACTGCTAACATGGAAAAATCAGCCTCACTCACCTACCCAGCAACAGGAGAGTGCCATGTGGTCTGTGGTTAGAGGCACTTAAGAGTGCAGCCGTCTGTCACTGTTTGCTCTTCCACTAGCTTGCTGGCCTACCTAGACAAAGCACCCCAAGCTTCGGCCTGAGCTTCTCTTTGAAAGAGCTTTGCCTAGTCCTTATCACTGCAGGAGCTATAAGGAAAGCTAAGCACATCACCAAAGGGCAAAGCTTTATTTTCATAATAAAAAATCATTACAATTGCATGAGGAAATATGTTTGCCCCTCATTCCTTTGGGAGCAGGAATGCATCCATAACATGCTACATTAAAAAAAAAAATAAGGAGTTCTCAGGGCTGTCAAACTTACGGTAGAGATTGAGCAGTAGTATATTTCTCCTACATAAAAGCCAAAAAAAAAAAAATCATTACATCTTGGTCACACAAACAATACTGGTCTGCCTTATTTTATTCCTAGTGGGAAAAAAAAATCAAGGAATTCCCATTGTACTTGGATTTACAACTGTACAAGTATTTGGAGATGTTTGCTATGGGATGATGATAGGTGTTTTCTCTTTGCTTAATTTCTGACAAACTCAGAGCAGAGGTTGCTAAACATGGGGCCAGTGGACTTAATGATTTTTTAAAAGTCATCAATCAGCTAGACTGTCGCAAAAGCAAATGTAATACATAAGAAACAAGGCAAAAATTTTTTATTGCTGGTTTAAATCTGTTGAAAGCTGAAACCAAGAATAAGACTGCTTACACTAAAATAAATTTTTAGATGGAGTTTATCTTATTAAGTGTAGTATAGGTAAATATAAGAAGATGAGAAAAAAATTTGAGTGAATATTGTTTAACCTTGGGCTTATACTTAGAGGGGAGAGACTTCTTTTAGCAGATTTGAAAGTCAGAACTCATTTTTTAAAGTCTGATATATTTGACCAACTAAAAACTAATACTGTCCTAGCTGGCATAGCTCAGTGGATTGAGCACAGGCTGCAAACCAAAGTGTCACAGGTTTGATTCCCAGTCAGGATACATGCCCAGGTTGCAGGCCATGACCCCCAGCAACCACACATTGATGTTTCTCTCTCTCTCTCTTTGTCTCCCTCCCTTCCCTCTCTAAAAAAAAAAAATAAATAAAATCTTTAAAAAAACAAAACAAAAAAAAACTAATGCTGTATAGCAATGTTTCAAATGATGGGGTTAGTGTCTTAAATATATAAACAGCTCATACAAATTAACAGTGAAAATACCAAGACCACAGAGAAAAAGTGACCCCCCCCCAAAAAGAATATGCAATCTATGGAAGATATTTAAAAAATGGCCACTGAACATATGTCAGCACGCTAAATTCACTAGTTACCAGAAAAAAGGAAGCAAATTTAAATAATTTCCTCAACTACTAGAATGACAAATATTAAAAATACTGATTTCCTCATATGTTGTTGTTAGTGAGACTGTAAATCTGCATCAGATTTATAAAGAGCAAGCTTGAAAGTAGGTATAAATTTTAAAATGTATACAGGGCATCCTTTGACTTAGCATTTCTTTTGGAGCATGGGAAAGGAACCCCATATTCAATGTATACATGGGCTGTAAGCCTAATTTCAGAACTATTAAGAGAAAGAAATGTAAATAATAGTAATGAGGAAATAGGCATATTTCTTCAATATTAGGATCATCTTAGAAATATTAGGATGTTCACTTAAACACTGACTTTTTTTTTACGGATTTACAGGGTTTCACATGAGTTTTATGTATTTATTAAACATTTCTCTAGCTTTAAATTTTATTTTTGAGTTAAATATCATTTTTAAGAAGCAAAAAAATTAATAAGGGTGTTTTCATCTTTAAAAATTGTATACCACTTCTCTGGCCAGTTTAAAATCTTGATTTAAAATGGGAAGTCAAAAAACATTAGCACATGAATATTTGTTCTAGAAAGTGTGATGTCATTCTGACCTTGACTGTACTCTGTAGAACTCTAGGTCTGAGCTTGAGTTGTTGCCAGGTGCTCTGCGTGCTCAGGGCAAAGCCACTAAACCCTTTGACTTCCTGCTTTGTCACCTCCCCAGGCAGACCCTCTCCTGGCGCCCCGAGGTCTGGCTCCTGGAATGCCCCGGAAGGGGAGCATCCTTGCAGGGCTGCCCCAGGTCATTTCCAGCTGGGCAGTACCGCCTGGGCTGCCAGCCTTTTGTTTCAGCGGTGGGGCGGTCAGTGTGAGCAGGAAGCACCCCTGGCACAGGCCTGCGGTACGTGCCTGCGGTGCATCAGGCGGTGCATCAGGGGGAGCAGGACCCAGGACAGCAGGGGTTGCTGCCTGGCAGGCAGCGAGAACCAAGCTGGGCCTGAGGACAGCAGGGAGAGTGTGGCTCTCCCTCAGACAGGCTCACATGAGTGAAAGTTGCGAAAGTGTTTCTGTTCTCAATTATGTCCACCTTCTGCTGCTTTCTGTCTTCCCACAGCCCACATGCGTGTCAGGTTCTCATGACAACCACTCTAAGAGACGGGACTGTGGGGGAAGACTCACACAAATCGCCTTCACCTTTTTACCATTGGAAAGGGGTTAAACGAAGCCCCTTTAGGTCACAGGCATAATATCTAGCCTAGTTCTAGTGCCAGGACTGATGTCCTCAAACAGCCTCATTTATTTCATCCAAAACACAGAAATTTAAAACCTAGATGCTGCTGACTGGGGGCAGAGGAGCACAGGCAAGAAAAAATCAAGCTGAGTCATGTGTGGACTACAGAGCGCACTGGAGTCCACAGACACACTGGACCCACCAGTGGCCCCTTGAGAAAGTAACTGAGCCTTGCTTTTCTCATCTATAAAATGGAAATATCTGTGTTTTCTATTTCAAAAGATTAGAGGGGGAATAACAAAATTATGCATGTGAAAATGCTTTGTAAATTGAGGCCCTGGCCAACTGCCTGCGTTGGTTGGAGCATATCCGGTATACACACACACACACACACACACACACACACACACACACTCACAGGTTGTGAGTTAGATCCCCAGTCCGGGCGCATACCTTGTTTGTGGGTTTGATCCCTGGTAGGGGCGTGCACAGGTGGCAAAGGATTGATGTTTCTCTCTCTCCCTCTCTTCCCCCCCTCCTAAATCCATAAACATATCCTTGGATGAGGATTTTAAAAAATACTTTGTAAATTGAAAGATATTATTATTTCTTCACTGGTATTTGGAGAGAAGTACTGTATTGTACTTCCCCACAGCTGGGCATGCTATACAGGAACTTAGTGACTGCTTGTTGAACTGCCTGAAGAAAAATAAAACCAGTACCTTTGGTAAAATCAAGCAAAGATGAGATCCAGTATGGGGATGCCTGACAAGATGACCTATTTCAGAGTTTTAAAAAAATATTCTGGGAAAAGCAGAGGGCATAAGAAAGCTCATCTCACATGCTATCTTATGAGCACAAGACAATCACCCTCAGGAAAGAGAACACAGTGATAGGGTATTGGGAAATTTTCAGTCATCCACAGGCTACCAATGAAAGGTTCTCAGTCACAAGTTCAACTGCCTCTGTCCCTCCCAAAGTAGAGCAAGGACACAGATCCAAGGCAACACAACAAGGGACCATGTCAATTACAGAAAAGGTTTGGAATTCAGAGTTAGGCTTCCCACAAAAAATCTAGCTTGCCTTCTTAACTAGAAAGGATCTCAGAGCTGCACAAAGCAATGTACTAAAGTGCTTACATTAGAACTCAATGAAAAAAATTAAGACCCTTGACACTCAAATCATATTCCCACCCTTCGCTGGTATCCAGAGAAACCGGAAGTGAACCTTTCTGATAATGTGTGTTTAGCTCTCTGAGTAACTAAAGGCATTTTTTAAAAAACTTTTCTGGGTATAAGTCTCATAAATTATTTTTCATACCTCCTTGCCTTCTTAAAGAGTCTACCTGAACATTAATCTAGCCTTTTCTTTTTAAAGGTATCAATATAGACATAGATTACCATCCTTTGCTATTTTTAGCTCTGCCCTCAGGTATCGGGTGTCTGTCTCTGATCAGCCAAAGATCCCAGACTGCCACATTTTAATTCTACCTCCTAACTCCCCTGCAGCTGTCGCCTCACCTCGATCGTCAGCATCACTCCTACCTCTGGCCTCATTTTACACAGTCCATGGCGGGGACCCCAAAGGTCTCTCAATAGGGGCAGGTGCACGGGGTCTACTCCGAAAGGCTGGGGTTTCTCACATTCGGCATTCAGCAAAGTGGGGCCCTTCCACACAACCTGTCAGACACTGTGGTTCTCACCTCCGTAACTGTAGAAAGCGTTTCTTTCTCTCACTCCAATAACAGTTCCCAAGATATCGACCTGCTTTATTGGATGCCCGTTGTAAAAAAACACACCTGGAAAAAAAAAAAAGACAAGGTCCATATAAGGCATGATCCCATTTTCTGTTTCGGTCCATATTAACTGTGGGGATGAGGATGGGGCGTGTGTCAAAAATCAGTGGCAAAATTGACCCTTGTCAAGTGGCAAGCCCCAAGAAATCAGATGTCTTTTCTTTGGGGGCCAAAAGGAGAAAGCCTGGCTTCAAAGAAGCTTGCACTAGTGCAGAACGGAGAACACCAATGTTGCCCGGCTGGCCTTGGTTACTCTTTCTTCCACTTGTGAAAACGACATGTACGTCCCCGCAGCACTCTCCTGAGGGGCCTGCAAACAGTCATCCTGTTACGGAAGCAAACACAGCACAGTGGTTTGAGGGGCTGGAGAAGGAAAGAAACCATGAAAAAGGTTTCTTTGGCTCTTTCACTGGTGCTTTTCTAGGAAACCAGTCATCGTTTCTATGAATTAGCAGTAGCTTCTTCTTTTTTTTTTTTTTAAAAGAGAAGATAATTAGGTTACCAAACACCGTACTTTGGGGCCAACCCATTACAGATCAAAAATGTTTTGAAACCCTATTTCCAAACCTAGATACCAGACGCCAGCAGGCAGGTTCCTGCTAGAGGAGAGACCTGAGAGGCCGAGCCCTCCCCACCCACTGACATCTGGAGTCCTTCTCTGGACTCGGGGACTGGACTCTGGCAGAGGGACTCCTGGCAGTGGTGAGCCCTTGATGCCGACCCAGGTCCGGTTGCTGTCCTGGCTCCTGCAGAGCTTCTGTTCTGTGCCCTGCCCCCATCCATACCTGACCTTTTTTTTTTTTTTTTTTTGGCTTAAGCTACTTGTGTTGTGTTCCTGGCACCCGTAGCTAGAGTCCTGACTAAAATCCTCTTTTTTTTTCCTCCACTATGACTGAATTCTTTACTTTCAGAAAGAGCCTATAAACTTTTAAACGATGACTTCCTTAAAAAAAAAATCTGCAAACAGAGAATCAGTTAGCACTTCAGGCATTTGGCCACCTTCCCCACCCTCAGGCCTGGTTGGAGCCTTTCTTCTCCACGTCCAAGGGGGACCCCCGGTCTGAACCACTGCACCCATCAGAAACCCCAGCCTGGCCTCCACAGGCGACTGGTTCCCCACGCCAGTAAACAGGCTGGGGGTGAGTAGCTCACAGCAGAGGTGCAGGGGCTGGACAAGGAGGCTCTGGCCCCAGTTAGCCAGAGAAGGGTAAGATGCGGTTTGAAGAAAAGGTGGCAAATTTAGCCAAAAGAAGGGCCCCTGACAGGCCTACTTCAAAGGACACTTAGTAAACTAGAGATGTGCTCAGGGCAACCTTGGGGACCATGAGCTGAAATGACAGGGCCACTCCAGGGAAAGGGCCGGGGTCATGGTGTCGTCACCAGAGGGGAGTCCCCCCCAACCAGGGACACTTGGATTGAACGAGGACAGACTGGCGCCACTGATAACCCACGAAGTTTTAAGAGCAAGGCAGTTCCCATTGAGAACTGCTCCTGAGTTCTTCCGATTAAAGCCCAGGTCTTAGTTACTACCTTTGGGGAGGCCCTCAGCCCTGGCACTGCCTGCCTGCACTGAGCAAACACAAAGGAAATAGGAGGACACCCCGCAGGCCTTTGCAGACAACCTTTCCTGCTTCTCTGTGTGGCAGAAGGGAAGTTAAAATCGGGAGAATGAGCCTCACCCAGGGACATGGGTGCAGAGTCCTCTAGTGAAGTGTGCCCCGGCCGCGCCGTGACATGCTCTTGTGCAGAGATCGGCTATGGCTGGCACTACTCTGGCCCTCCAAGTCTGCTGCTGTAGGGCCAGGTGGGGCTTACAGTGGCTGGAGCTCCAGGCTGGTCTCCAAATGCACTGGACAGGTAATAATTCTTTCCAGTTGTGCACTGAGCAGAGCAAAGTTAGAGCAGTCTTTTCTAAAACCTGACTGGCCTCTCCTCTCCCAGCCCCGCTCACGGTCTGTGGTCCTTGTCAGGCAATTGTCTGTATTGGAGACAAAACACTCTATGTTTCCGTGATTAGCTGTGGCGCACAGGGCATTGGCAATCAAGAGCAGAGCTGGGGAGCCCTTTGGACCTATGGGGGCGTACTGCCTGTCCCCGAAATGTCTTTCCAGTTGGTGGTAGAGCCACAGTGGGTGTTCTGCTGGTGGTGTCGGAAAGCTTCCCCCAGGCCCAGGGCTCTGGGTTTCCTTGCGGCACCGTGGTGTGTGCTGCTCTATGGTGGCTGGTACAGGGCAGAGCCGACATGCTTCAAGAAGGTAAAAAGAGCTAGCCAAAAGGCATTATGACTGGCTGGGAGCACATGGAAAGGGCGATGAGAAGATTAGACCAATGACACAAGTCAATGAAGTCCCCAAGTCGTCCAAAGGTACCAACTCCTTGTTGGGTAATGCTTGATAAAAATTTGAATGGGTCTTCACCTAAGGACAGAAGAGACTTTCTTGAAAAAAATACAGAAAAGGGAGCTAGACTTTCAACTCATGGACTGACAATGGCTCCACTTCAAGGACAGACACAGTCACTCAAGAAGCAAAAAATCCTTCCAATCCCAAGTAACTAAGACAACTTAAAAGCATCGCAGAAAAATGGAGAACAAATTTAGAAAACAGCAGATGGGTTGAGCAGAAACACTCCAAGAAAATCAACTAGGAGGAAATACATTGTGTAGAAATAAAAAAAATTTCCCGAAGTGCATGGAAACATGAACTCTGCAATATCAGAAGTACAACCGCAGCAAGATGGCTGAAGACGTGAAAAAAGAATTGGGGAGAACCACCACCTTCTACCCACACGGGATTCTCCTCTAGGAGAAAAGAGCTCAAGAAAACTGGATGGCAGCTCTGCTGAGAGCCTGGCGAGCTGAGAAAAGAAAGTAACCACAAGAGAAGGCTGATGCTGAGTTAAAGCTGCGGCCTTTCCCCAAATGGAAGGTTGTTCCTGGTGCAGCCCCCAGAAGCCCAGAGGATCGGGGTCCCTGGGTCATCAGGTCCCCCAGAAGTGGGGTCACGCTGGGAGGGTCCAAACTCCAGGGTCACAGGCGGGTCTGATTTAGCTTTCATAGCAGCCAACCCCTGAACAGCCACATCACAGCAAAACATTTGCCTGTTTTCTCCCTTGAAGTGCTTTTGACTTATGTTTTTTTAGTCTAACTGCTGTTAATTAACTGGTGCTACAGCTGCTTTAATTGAAGTTTGATAGTGTTAAAATGCCTAAGAAAATAGTTTTAAAATACAAGTGTATACAATCATTTAACATAATCCTTATGAATACATATTTCTACTTCACTGAACCCTCTAAAATTAGACAATATGAGTATTGTATTTTGATTTAAGTAAGTGATTCAATATCTATCCTGTGGGAGAGAGAAAAGGGCCACATCCTGACAAGCTCAGGGGAGGCCTGGGCGGCAGACTTACAAACTCAGAGACCTAAAGTAACCCAAAGGATGGTTTGAAATTAAACTGATTAACTAAAAGCAGTTCCTGGTGGGTAGTCCTGTCCTAGGCCTGTATTTTCCCCTAACAAAGGTCAATCTTCACCTTAACGGAGCCTGTCTGTTGTCTTTTTGCATCTACAACATACCTTTGAAATGTAAAATCTACTCTTTCAGGGAGACCACAGATCCCCTTACTGTTATTGTTTTCATGTTAATTGTTAACTGTTAACTATTTTATACCCACCTGTGTAAGAGTATGTGTCTATCAGTTTACCTTTTATCCAATCCCAGAGGTTCTTCCCTCCCTAAGCTTTGCTTTCTCCCGCCTCCCAAATCTATCACCAAGGGGTTTTACCTAACCCCCTGAAGTCTTCTCCTCTGATTCTAATGTGTAAAATATGGCACTAAATTGTCATTACCCTGGAGCATTTTCTCAACTCATTGAGATTTTGCTTCCTGGCAACTGTTATTAGCTTGGCTCAAATAAACTCATAAAAATTCTTATGTTTCTTGACAGGGACAGAGGCTTTGGAGTAAGAGGCTACTTCTGTGTGCTTTGAGCTATAAACAAAAAGACAAAACAAAATGAGACGCCCCACACCTAAACACCACCACAGTCAAACCACAATATTTTTATTAGTTTAACCCTAAATTCACATGTCACTTTAGGGGAGTTGACATTTTGCAAAGCAATTCTGAGGCTATCTAGGACAAGGTCAAATTTCACAGTGTAAGGATAGTCTCCCATAAGACTGATCTCACTTCAGTCACCAGCCCCAAATTTGGGGGTCTTCAGGCCACCCACACTTCTGACCAACTGGCTACAAATACGGGAATTCCCAGGACTCCAACCAATTTGATAATGTTAGAATGGGACACAGAACTCGGGAAGGTGCTATGCTTACAACTATGATTTTAATAAAGGGTTCAAATCAAGACTAGCCAAATGAAGAGACGCACAGGACAAGGCCTGGCAGAGTCCAGGCACAAAGCTCCCATGTCCTCAGAGCACACAGATGTAAGGTTACCAACCAGGAACGCTCACTCAGAACTCAGGGCCCAGGGCTTTTATTTGGGTTTCATTCCATAGGCATGATTATCAATCATTGGTCACAGGACAACTCCAATCATCTCCAGGCCTCCCCTGCCCCCTCCCAGTGAGTCAGGCTGAAGTCACAGGGGCTCAAAACTCAACCCTCTAATCACGTGGTTGGTCTTTCAGGCACAAACAACCCCCATCCTGAAACTACCTGGGGGCCCAGCAGGAGGCACTCATTAGCATAAACTCAGGTGTGGTTCAGGGGACCACCCTGATAACAAAGACCGGCCTTTCATCCCAGAAATCCAAAGATCTCCGGAGAACCAAGGACAAAGGCCAACCAATGGCTTTCTTATATATTCGTTTCTTGTTTTATCATTCTTTGGTTAACTTTTATTATGTTTAAGATATTCTTTGCTGTTTAAACATTTCTAAATTTTATTCAATCCAAATAGGAGTTTTTTTCTTTATGATAAACCAAACTAGAACAACAAAAATAAAAACCTAGATGTGGCATTTCCTATCCCTAGGGCCCTACAGTTTAATCTAAAGGTCACTATGTGAAAATAAAGTTGATGTCTGCTTCAATCATGAGGTTTCACTTTAAAAACCACATACAGCAAAGAACACCGGGACCAGTCTTCCTTGCTTTGTGGTTAATCCACCATAAAGTTCTCCACCCACAGGAAGAGTTAAGCTCATCATGCTCCTGATATTGAGGCAGGACAGTTAGATATTAGGAGAATTTTTGACAAGTGGGAAAAGGGAAAATGAGACAGGTGGTTAGACAAATAAGGCCAAAGGAGTCAAGTAATTTATAGCCAGTTAGTAAATCGAAAGAGCTTATCTTCCCTAACCAAGGGCATTTGAGAGCAAATGGTCTACATCTCTCCTCCCTAGCCAGAGAGTAAACAGCTTAAATTGCCAGGGTCGGGGAGATAGATAACGGAAACCCAATTAATGCCACTGATGCCTGCCCAACCCAAAGACGAATGAAATCAGGAGAACAACAAACACCCCAATTAGAGTCAAACGTCCAAGATAGAGGCAAAGCAGACCAGCAAATGGTTCCTCTATGCATTTATTTTGGTCCATTAACATATTAAAAAACACACCTGGAGCCCTGGCTGGTGTGGCTCAGCAGATTGAGTGCCAGTCTGTGAACCAAAGGGTCATGGTTCAATTCCCAGTCAGGGCACATGCCTGGGTCTCCGGCCAGGTCCCCAGTGGGGGGCGTGCGAGGGCAACCAAACATTGATGTATCTCTCCCTTTTTCTCCCTCCCTTCCCCTCTCTAAAAATAAATAAATAAAACCTTAAAACACACACACACACCTGGAAAGCGAATGAATGCTCTGCTGAAACCCTCCCCAGAGACCTCCCCTAAGATTCCCACCTGCAAAGGAGAGAGAAAAAGTCTGAAGACAACAGACCCGGTGAGGGGCTCCTTCTGGAGCACACTGCTGCTTTTCCTTCCTCTGGTGGGAACTTTTGCCTGAACTCTAAGGGTCCCTCCCCACTGGACTTGCAACCAGGGAAACAGCGGGCAGTGGCAGCTCATCCAGGCTCACCCCCCACCCCCCGCCCCAAACCAGTCTCCAAGGCCCCCTTTTCCCTTTACTCTGACTTTTCAGTGAGCTAACAGCAGCCCTGGCCTTGGCTAGCTTCTTTCCTATAACCTTTCTAGATTATAGGATTCTCTTCTGTTGCTTCTCTTAACCTAGACCTTCCTTTGTTTCACTATCCCCAGCTTTAATAAACATCCTCTGAAAATCACCTGGCCTAGTATTGTAAAAGCTTCCCTGCACAAATAAAGAACCCACACACTACATGCCTGCCAGAGGCAGACCCACTCCAGGGCAGTCCCTTTCTGGTGACAATAATTCCTTAAGCACCTACAAAAGACCTCTAAGCAAGGCTGGCATTTGGTGTGAATTAATTTCTTCCTGAGGAGATGAGCTATTTAGAATACCAGACTGTTCTGGAAAATGGACAAATGTGGGGGAGGATGGCCGCCTTCCAAGGAAAAATCAGAGCATTTCCAACAATAATTAGGAAATAAAGGTGTGGTGAAAAATCTATAAAAAAGGCTTTAGTTTAAGGTCATCCAAATACATTTGTACACAAAACTGGAAACACACACAAAGCACTGCCTCATTAAAACTGCATACTTGAGATTCTTGACTACTTCTGACTCACAGCTTGCTATTCATTCAAAATAGCAAAGAGAGTTGAACCAAACTTCTCATATAGCACAGTAAACGTGCGAAGATCCATACGCTGCTATGTGAATTATTTAAATCTACCCCACAGAATATGTTACATTTTTAGGTATGGAGAGCCTATCTTTATTGACACCCACTCTAATTTTAAAAAACTGATTTCTTGAAATTTACACTTTTAATGCTTTGTTGCTCCAATGACTGTTTCTTGAGGGCCTGCTACACACCAGATACTGTTCTAATCAATGGGATTACATATGTGAACAAGGCAGATGATGTTTATGTTATTTTGATATGAAATCAAAATGTGACATGAATTCAAAACAAAACAAAAAATAAACCCCACAAGGAATTCAAGTGAATCCCCGTTTTTACAAAGAGGCTTTACAGGTGAGTCACATCCAGGCCAGGTAAGTGGCACAGTTAGGCAAGGGAGCAAAGCCTCGGAATGCCTGGTCCAGAGACCTTTCCACCAAGAGGAGGGAGGGCCAGGAAAAACAACTGAGTATTTTTAAATATGAAAGACTTCAAATCCTGTAAAAAACATTCATCAGTACAAAAGTTATTCCTCCAAACATCTATTTAAAAAACGACTTGCATAGAAATAATCTTGTTTGAGGGTCAGGGCTAGGTCATTTTCAAAGTCTGCAGGAGGGAGGGCTTTCCTGAAAGCCCTAAGCCCCAGATTTCTGCAGCTTCTGGGGAGAGTGGGGTACAGATGCAAAACAGGGCATCCACCAGGGGACCAGCCACATACCTGGCACCTGGTGGGACTCCTTCAAGTCCAGGATATCCCTGATGTAGAGTTTTGCAAAGGCTAGAAACACAGGATCCAAACCCCACCAGAGGGAAGGGGTCTCCTCTTCACACCCGCTGGATTCAGACTGCATCGGTAGACTGGGCTGTGGCTTCCAGCCAGCCCTAAAAGTCTCTCATCACTGGGCCAAGAATCTAGATAGGAGACATCAAGTTAGGGCGCGAGACGGTTAGAGTGGGTGATATTGGCATGGCCCCTAAGCAGTTCCCAAGCGGGCATCCAGAGCACTGTCGGGGGTAAAACGAGGGATCGAGGACCTGTCAAGCTGCCCACAGCCTTGGGTTAACAGGCGTTCCCCGTGGGAGGGCCCATGAGCTCCTTATGGCTCACCCCCCTGGAATCTCCTCTGCGCCACGAAAGTGTGTCTCCTCACCCACGAGTTAAACACCAACTTTTCACTTTGGGGAGACAGGTCCACAGAGGTGTACCCTGAAATCGCTTTAATGGGCGGGGTCCAGAAGGGAATTCTTGCGGCCATACACGAGTTGGGCACAGTGGGTGTATCTGTCCATCCGCCTGCTCCTGCACGTTCCGGCTTTCCGGAAGAAACTGTGAAAAGCGGAAACGAAACAGACCCGTCGGTAGCCACCACCTCCTAAACGCCCGCTCCCGTTGGCGCCCGCGTCCCGGGCCCTCAGGTCCCTGGAGCGCGCAGGCGCAGCCCTTCCGGCACAGGGAGGTAAGTCGCCTCTGAAGTTCCGGCGGTGACTGGGACTGCCCCCCGCGCGGGAAGGAGCGTTTCTCCACCCAGGCCTTTCCTCTCCACTGTCCGAGGCCACGCCCATCCCGCCTGCGGCCACGCCCCATTCTGTGCCACTGGCGGCTCCGCCCCACGCTCTCTTCCAAGTGGCTGCGGTTTGCGCCGCACTCATTAGATTAGGGCAGCGCACAGGTCTTTGCAGCGTTCCGGGCTACGCGGGCCTCTTTAGGAACGCAGAGCCCAAATCTCCAAGACTTTGGGAGGTGACCTTGAAATTTCTGCTGTCTAAAACCCTCGCTCCAGGTCACCCTTTCAGTACCCTTCTCACCCCCGGCAGGTGATGAGACCCTAACCCAAGATTTCCAAGAGTTGGGAGTGGGGTTCAGATAGCTTTTTTGCGGGGGAGCGTGCAGGGGTGTTCCTGGTGTATTAAATGAAGAAGTAAATTAAGCAATACCAAGCGCAGGATTGCACTGTGGCATATTTTAAATGTTTATTTACACTGGATAAATAGTTTAACACACACGTTGGGACTCTACAGTCTCACTTGGAGATAATGTCAGTATCTAAATTTGAGCCCTGGTGTAAATGTGAGGTTCTCCTCTTATTGTCTACACTCTGGAATGTTATATATACATTTAAGAATTTTGAAAAGCTGGCATTTTGGTGAATTATAGCCACCTTGATGGTGCTTGTTCCCAGTAGTCCTAATTTAAAATGAGTAATGATAGCCATGTTCCACTCCCATAAATAAATAAATAAATAAATAAATAAATAAATAAGCAAGCTACATCATGACATTACTTGAGATGGCAAGAGTTCTTCCTAATTTACAGGGACTCTAAAACGGCAGGAGTACAGGTCATTTTGGCAGGCCACTCCCAGGGGTGGTAGGCGCTGGCCAAAGAGTTAATTGCTAAACCATTTAGCAGAGAAAGAACTTCAAGCAGCTGGAATGGAACACATGTGTCATTAGAACAATGGCATTTAATTACATCCCCGGCCACTGAGGAAGCTAAAAAACGGAGTCCTTGATGAAGTACAGCATTGCCCGGATTCTACTGCAATGAACAGCTGGGTCTGTGGAGGTGAAGATTTAATGAAGAGCAGACACCCATCCTCTTAGGGGAGGCTCTCCTGGAGCAACAACAGCCAGGAGGACACCCGGTAGAACAGTGCTTCCTGCTGACCTGTCAAATAGGCAGAGACAGGTTGGGTGACATTTTCCTGACCGCACACATCTTCTCCAGGGTGGGACCCAGGAAGAAAATCACTACTGGGTGTACTCAGAGCCTGAGAAGATTTTGGGAATGAATGACTCATGGCTTTCAGGGGCAGAGTGCTAGAAACAAGAGCCCTTGAGGACTCTATGCTCACTGCCAGCCTTGGGGAGGGCGGCACGCTACAAGGAAGGAAGGAGATGGTGGAGAACAGAGCAGACTACCCTTGAAGTCATCTTTTACAGGGAAGGCAGGGCTTCTTGGAGTCTAGGGATGCTTCTTCTGATTGGGCCTTAAAACATGGAGTCAGTTATAGCCAAAACCTAAGGTCAGACATGAAGCAGAATTTTCAGACTGCAGAAGCATCTAGAAGGGTTTGGAAGGAACTTCTTCCTTGACATTTCTGTCAGGATAGATTCCAGGTTCCCCAGAACACTGCTTACAGGTGGGCAGAGTGAGTCCTGAAACCATAAACACTGGAGAGCTCTTCAGCTTGGGATTTCACAAACCTGCAAAGCAGATAGATATTTCAAAACCCAGTAGTCTTGTAAAGTCTATGTAAAGTTACACGTGTAACTTTTTAGTTCAATGTAGTCCCATTTATAAAGAACTTATAAAACTCAAAACCAAAACAAACAAATAAACAAACATTCCAATTTAAAAACCAGCAAAGAACCTGAATAGACACTTCTCCAAAGAGGGCATATGAAAAGATGCTCAACATCACTAGTCATCAGAGAAATGCAAATTAAAACCACAATGAAATATCACCTAACACCAGTCAGAATGGCCATCATCAGCAAGTCAGCAAACTAGTGCTGGCAAGGACGTGGAGGAAGGGGAACCCGTTTGCACTGTTGGTGGAAATGCAGATTGGTGCAACCACTGTGGAAGGCAGTTTGGAGATACCTCAAAAAACTAAAAATGGAACTGCCTTATGACTCAGCAATTCCACTTTTGGGAATTCATCCAAAGGAATCCAAAACACTAATTTGAAAAACATAAGCACCCCTACGTTCATTGCAGCATTATTTAGAATCACCAAGATAGTAAATAATGGAGTGTGGGCTTTATTTTATGTAGCTCTAGTAAAGTGATATTCAGGCTAAGATCTGAAGGATGAGAAGGAGCCAACCACACACAAAAAATGCTAAGGAAAGAGCATTCCAGGCAGCAGTCAGATACGGGTGAATGTCTGCGAGGCAGAGAAGTACTTCCCAGTTCTGGGAACAGAAGAGAGCATGGGGGAAAGTAGTTTTGTAAGCAATTGGAGAGATAAGCCGAAGGCAGATGGCAAAGGACCTCTTGGTCCACGATAGGTTGGGATTTTATTCTCAGTTTCCCTATTTGTAAAAAGAGTGATAACTTTGTGATGGAGTAGGAGTAGGGCAAAGGTAGCAGGATAAGCAAGGCACGTTTGTGGGCAAGCCAACATAGCAGCTGGCTGGAGGGCACTGCTGTGGAAACAGCTGGAGACCAGGGGTCGAGCTAGATTTGGAAGGACTTGAATTAGTTTCTACTTCTATTCCTTGTGAACAATAGAGTGTCCTTAATTGTTGATCAGAGGAATGATTTATTGAATTAAAAAAGTTGCAGGCATACCTGCACATCTAACATACTGTAGTAGGGAATACAAACATTTGTAAGAAGACTTCTCTACCCAATTTACAGAATTTATTCCAAAAATTGTCTTAGGGATATTTACCAAAGGGGGTCTAAGCCGAGGTCTGCAGGCCACATGCCGCCCAGGAGGGCTATGAATGTGGCCCAACACAAAATCGTAAATTTATTTAAAACCTTTACTTTGTTCATAAGTTTTCGTGAGTGTTTATGTATTTAATGTGTGGCCCAAGACAACTCTTCTTCTTCCAGCGTGGCCCAGAGACACCCAAAGTTTGGACACCCCTGTTGCTGGGCCTACTGCAGTGGGCATTGCCTGTATCCCCTCTCCTCTGGCCTCCTCAGCAGTCTCACTCAATTGCCTGTGATGTCACCCTCTCCCCGGCTTCCCCTTGGCACATAAGCATGCTGTCCCCTCTTTTTAAGTGTCATCTAACTTTAAGAAAAAGAGCTTCTCTAAACATCTCAGCCCTAACTACTGCCCTCTGGCACTCTTGCTCTCTGTTCCAAGCTCTTGGAGGAGTCATTTGCGCTCCCTATGCACACTTCCTTTGTCTCTAATTCAACCTCCTGTAGTTTGGCTCACCTTAACTTTCAACCAACTCCACCCCAGTCCGCCACTCCACTGAAACCTCTTTCCTAAGGTTAGCAATTACAGTCAAATTCTCGTGTACGATGGGCACGTTCCTTATCATTCTTTGTCTTTATTTCTGATTATCTGGCATTTGATGTTGATCTGATCACATTCTCTCTGTACTCCCCTTTGGTTTCCTGATATCCTTTTTACGTTTAATTCTACTCTCTTTCTTCCTTTTCCATATCTTCTTCTGCTTATCTCTTGCATGTGGATGTTCCCCAAGATTCAGTCTCATGCCCACTTCCTTCTCACCTATGTGCTCTCTCTGAGTAGCTTCATTCAAACCTATGCTTCAACTGAACCAATATTCCAGTGACTTTCACCTGTTCACGTTTAACCCAGAACTCTGTCTCAAGCTCCACATCTGAACTTCCACCTGGACAGTCCTGGGTACCTCAAACTAAATCCACCCCCTGACACCCCAGTTCTGCCTCTCTCTTTCCTGTCAAATGAATGCCACCACCACCCAGCCATTGTCTAAGTCAGAAAGCAGATGGTTTTGAGGATACTTCCCTCTCTTTCACTGTTAGGTGCTATTAATCATAAAGACCTGTCAGTTCTGTTTCTTAAATATGTTTTCTTAATTTAGAAAGACTCCTCCTGTTGGCAAAGTCTTTAATCCTTTATTGCCTGGATTACTCCCACTACCTTCCAATGAGTCCTCTGCCTCTAGCCTCACCTCTCCTCAATTCATGGTCTATTAGACAATGCTACTCCTTTTTCTAAAATCTTCCAGTAAATTTATGTAATGAGCAAAATAAAGTTCAAGCTTCTTACCATTTAATACCAGGTTTTTGTGGCCTGGTCATGACCCACATCTTGCCTTCTTTTATGTTAAATATTTTCAGGGTAACATTTCAACTACTCTGCTAATTTGGGGGGGAAAGTTTATTTTTTTAAGTTTACAATCTGAGGATTACAATAGTCATCTTAATTTATCACAATTCTATGTCAGGTTAATACTAATTTAACTCTAGAAAAATATAAAAACTTTGCTTCAATATGCCCCTGTTCCCTGCACCCTTCTTTGTGCTATTATTGTCCTATATATCGCATCTGTATATGCTGTAAACCCAACAAGATAATGTTATAATTATTTATTTATGAAGTCATATGTCTTTTAAGGAAGGTAAGGTAAGAAGTGAGAAAAAGACAACCATGGTCTTTTGCATTAGCCCGTATAATTATCATCTCTGATGCTAGTTATTTCTCCCTGTAGGGCTAAGCGCTCCAAACTGAATGAACCCTTAGACTGCGGCAGAGGTCATGTCGGCACTCACGCCCTGCCCAGCCCTGCCCTGCCCTGCCCTGCCCTGCCCTGACAGAACTTCTCTATTGACCGAGCTGGGACCGTGGGTGGGTGTGGGGAATGAGACCAGCCCCAGGCCAGAATGCCACAGACTCCCATTGCTTGGTTTAGTTAGTTTTCAAGCATAGGTGGTTTTTAGATTATGTGCCTTTGATCTATTCTCAGAGTGCTAAAGTGGTTGTTTTGGTCAATTTTGCCCAGTTTTGTTCTTGCATTTTGGAGAGACTATTTGCTGATCTT